ATTTAAACATTCACCACCGCCAATTAATTGCGCAATCGTATTTCATTTATCTCTTGCGAACCGAACTTTATTTGCGTCCATGTGGGTCACGGCCAATTGAATTTGGCAGTGAATGTCGTCGACGTCGTCTCCAACACTGTTGCGTCACAGATCAAAGGAGAAAAATCACGGAAACGGGAACAGGTCGAGGACGAAGGCCAGCCCTTGGGGGGAGCTCTTCAAACAAAGTAGCTACCTGGAGTTCGGGGTTGCCATATGCCGCCGGAGGGTACAGGTTTTGTGTATGAGGAAGAAGGGTTAACTCGAAGGGTAAACAAGGGATCGCGTGAGATCTTGGTCTGATGTTTGGAATGGTACGGGAAGACGGGTTTTTGGGAATTCTCATGCTGCTAGATTGGGTGTGTTCGGTGTGATAATGGTTTCGTTCGACATGTCCAGTTGGAGTTAATTGGAGGTTACATTACTTGTTCTTGCGGTATGGGTGAACGTACATTGAAAAATACAAGTTTTGGTGGTGTTTATTGTTGCGTAAATGGGATTATGTGTTCTGAACGATGAGTAGAACAAAGAGTTTGTTACTTTTCTAACACTGGAGTTCTCATGTTCAAGAGGGTTTCCATAGGAACATTCGTTATACAAAATCAGTACCCAAAGACTGAAACCTAATGCTGAAGATTCGATTTTTTTATTCTTGAAGCTTTGAATCCTCAAGTTTGAATCATTGATATTAATCTCGAGCTTTGTAAATCTCGAACACATGGTCTGCAGACAGAAATTACAAAAAATGCAACGTAAGTGGAAAAAAGGAAACCTTTGTTTCTTAATAAAGATTGTTCTATCTTTCAGTGACATTTTAGTAATCAGAGATCGTGAAATAACTTTGTAAAGATGGTATTTGTAGTAATGGTATTCTACTAACCTTTAACATGCTCAAAGAGTTGTCATGCATATTTTTTATTTCTTTAGATCACAATTCATCTAATTCTTCATAGTCACGTTTAGAACATACATAGTGGAACGTCTAACATTTGCGTAAGTTTCGGCTCTGATTGGCTAGTTCAAAGTCATTTTCGAGCAACACTTATTTTAATGGCGTAGCTCCTTCGCATTTGCTTTTTAGTACCGAGGAAACCAAAATACGACGCTCCAGCAATGAAAACGTAAACATTGTAGCGAGTATAAATAATAAATATTTTCTGAAAGTAAGAGTCAGTGCAGCTGCAGCTGTTATTAAACAACCACCGCTATAATACACAATTTCGAATTAACATTCTGGGGCAAATAGTTGGGAATTTTTGTGTCAAATATTCTTTAAAAGGAATTGGCAAAAAACTAATAATTACAGTAATGAGATGTTTATCTAAAGAAGACGGCGACAAAAGATAATCATTTTAGAGAGAAACGAGACTCATTGATGGACTTTCCACGGTAGCATCGACCAGTGGCGGCGTAAAGGGGGCGAGGGGGCGGTCCGCCCCGGTTACCAAGCATCAAGGGGTGACAACGACAAATCGCCGGTACAGCTAGAGAATACTTACAGAAGAATCACTCTGCAAAAATACACAAAAAAAAAATCGGGGCGGCAGACAGACAGACGGACGGAAACGAGCGACCTATTTCTTCGTACTCTAGGAGTCATGAAAGGTCGAGAAAATGTAAAAGTGGAGAAGTGGCCTATAGACTTGATTACAATACATTTTTCTGGTTGACAGCACTAAATCCACGAAAATCAAAGTTTGCCACTAATATTAAGCCAATGACTACAACGGCTTTCATTTGAATATGTGTAGTCTTCTTTTCATAACAAGAAAGGTAAAACATGTTTAAAAGGGTAACATTTTTGTAGGTAGTATCGATTTTGCAATTAGGCTCCGCCCCTCGGTCTGACAACGAATGAAAAATTCATCACGGTTGAGATCGAGAGGGATGGGTGGGGCTTCTCTTTTGGTTTTCTTTTTAATTAATATATGTATTCAGTTTTCCTTGTATAACACGAGTACTTGCTAAGAACATGTTTCACATGGTAATTTCTCGTAGAAAAATAAGTATTTTACAATTAAGCTCCGCCCCTCGGCTTACGACGAATAAAAAAAATAACCAGAATTGAGATAGGGCGGGTGGGTGGGGCTTACACGGTTCAAATAGTTTTTGCAAGGAAATATGGATTTTGCAATTATGGGGCGGAACCTAAATGCAAAATCGATATTTCCTTATACAAAGAAGTCTACACATATTAAAACAAAAAGGAAAAATGTAAGCCCGCCCACCCGCCCTATCTCAATTGTAATGATTTTTTTTATTCGCTGTGAATCAAGGGAACGGATCTTAACTGCAAAATACTTATTTCTTTACAAGAAATTAAAAACATGTTTTTGAATATCGTGTTGTTCGAAGAATACTACGTATATTAAGAGGACCCGGGGTGGGTTAGTTAGCATCATGCTTGCCCGCTACACCTTGGGTCGTGGGTTCGATTCCCGCCATGGCTCTGGGTGTAACGTGTATGTCCCGTTCCCCTGTAATTGGGCCTCGGTGCCTGTTGGGGGACGTAATTGAATAAAAAAAAAAAGGCAAAATATGAACCCCGCCCACCCACCCCATCTCAATTGTGATGATTTGTTTTTATTCTTAGAAACTTAAAACACGTTTAAAATGTTAAATTTTTGTAAGGAAATATGGATTTTGCAGTTAGGCTCCGCCCCTAGGTCTGCCAACGAATGAAAACTTCATTACTATTTAGATCAGGGCAGGTATGGGCGGGGCTTAATCTTTGACTTTAATTTTTTCTTAATATATGTACATAGTATTCTTTGAATCACACGATACTCAAACAAATGTATAACATGGTCATTCATTGTAGAGAAATAATAAGAATTTTGCATTTAAATTCCACTCCCTTGGCTCTCGACAATAAAAAAAAAATCATCACAATTGAGACAGGGTGGGTGGGCGGGGCGTATATTTTGCCTTTTTTTTTTTTTCTTAATATACGTAGGCATCTTTTCATAACAAGAAACTTAAAACATGTTTAAAATGGTAAATTCTTGTTCTTTGGCTTTATTTTTTTCTTAATATACGTAGTATCCTTTGAACAACACGATAATCAAAAAAATGTTATTAATTTCTCGTAGAGAAACAAGGATTTTGCAGCTAAGCACCGTCTCTTTGGCTCACGACGAATAAAAAAAATCATCACAATTGAGATAGGGTGGGTGGGCGGGGCTACATTTTGCCTTTTTTTCTTAGTATGTGTAGACTTATTTCGACAAGAAGAAACTTAAAACATGTCAAAAATGGCTCAATAGAAAACCGCCCTGGGTGCCAAACCACGCTACGCCGCCACTGGAATCGACCCCACTTTATTTAATAACAAATTCAAAATTACATATAGGACTTTTAATGTTGTATTTATATAAATGTTTAATAACTCTTATTGGAAGTTTAGCATCCCATTAATTTGACGGTACTGGTCAAACAGAACAGCAATCAGATTTAATAATTATATCTTGAAAGCGGCAAACGTCATAGCACTTTTAATTGCAAGCAATTGCCGACTAATGAAAGTTAAATTTTTCAACTAAAAACCAGAAGCACGTATTAGCTTTAGCGCATTTAAATTGCGGTGGTTGTAACATTTTACGATGACCATCATCTTTACCTTTTTGTGGTATTTTGTATTTTTCTGTCTGTGTGAAACCAGAGAAATTTATGTGAGAGTTATACATTGTTTCAATTCTTTAATCGGGCATTGTTATGAAAATGTGGTTGGACAGTTTACACGTAAGTGTGTTTGAGGTTAAGGTTGCTTTTTCGAGGATATGACCAACTTAGGTGAAACTCTCTTTATATTTCCTTTTTTGTTGATTCTCAAGATTTAACCCGTTTTGTGTTTGTGAACAAGAAATAACTCCGGTTTACTGAAATTTCAGGTTGTTTGAAACACTGTTGGTTGTATAAATACACGCTTGATTAAATTCCAATTTACCTGGAAAAGTGCACAATGCTCGGTTCGCATAAAGGTGTGAAACATTTTTCTTGTTCACGATTATTGATTAAACTCTTCCTGTTAAAGTTTATATTACCATCGTAGCAACCGCAGGTTAGAATTTTTTCGACCTTTGAAAGCAATTTTTACTTCCTGCGCATCACCCATCATGATGGTACTCCACAAAATAATGGCCTTGGCGGGTACCACCTGCCATCTGCGTTTTAAAGACATTCAGAAATTCCGGTGATTGACATTTGAAGCGATTACAAAGCAGCTGCTTTATTTATCTTATTAGCCATTGTGGTTTGAATGCAAATTCACGAGTTGGTTGGACTTTAAACATCGCCATGAGCAATTTCATATATTAATGAAGCGATATACGAGCGTAGTTTAAATCAAGCATTAAAGATGTTTGTTATTTAAATAAGTCGAGTGGTTTTTTCCAACTTCTTAAGCAGCACACGAGTACAAGAACTACAATAAACAACAATCACGCGGTCGGCTCGACAACCATAATGGACACTTTTAGTCGACAAGTAAAGCGACATTTCTGTGTCGCGGTTATAAAACAAGCCGCTTTTTTCCCCGTCACGCCGATTAATTTATTAGAAATTTTCGAAAACGTTCTAATTTTACGAAACGAAAAATAGCTATCACTACTTGGACGCTTTCCTTGAATTCTATTTTTATTAAATGGAGTGTAATAATAACGAGCGTCGTAGGAACCTTGTTCTTCATTTTTTCCCTGTTTTTGATTTGTGTGGAACGCGTGGCAAAACTTTGTTTGGAAGCGAGCGGATTAGTACGTCAGCGTGAATTTTCGCCCGCCTACTCGCGGTACCTACGTTCGCGATCTGTCAGTACTGTTCGCATCGTTGCTTGATCGTGAATCGTTCCGCTTCTCATCTATTCACGATTTACAAGTTGTCGATTTTTCCGGATTTCGCTGTCAATGCCGACGGGTCGGTGACTGCTCGAAAATCTCAATCGGTACTAATCTGTTTCATTTCAGCCTCAGCGAGTGCTACTTCGCGGGCAAGGGTACAGCCTTGGTACTGCCGGCCGCGGAGGCGCAAAAATCCAACAGACGGCCCGACGCCCAAGGCAGCAACATCCGGAAACATCTGCAGTCGATCGTGGATCTTTTGCGACCGGAGGAGACGCTCAAAATGGTAAGTTGGGTGGTACCAGGTGTCGCTGCCGACATTTCATTACGAAATTAGTACGAGTATTTCAATATTAATAGGAATTTAGTTTTCCTACGAGTGGTAAAGTAATGCAGTCGTTATGGATCTAGTAGGAAATGTAGTACCGCAGTACGTCAGTTTATATTGCAAACTATTTGTTACAATGTAATGTCGCATAGAAGTTCTAATTAATGTGTACATGGTGATTCATTTTCTTGGACATAAAAACCTAACACTGAATACCTAATGAACAAAGCTTAGAAAAACTCTTTTATTACATTTCACCCTCTTTACGATTGCAATCGATGGAAATTCAAAGATGCTAATTTAGAAAAAGTGCATACTTACCTGGATTATATCAACTAATTAGTCTTGAATGTTATACAAGATTATTTTAATGAAGAAAATAAAGTTAATATTGAAACAAGAAACACAGCGTTAATTGCTTTCAAGTGAGTTTTAATTGACCGTCGTAACTCTTATTGTCGTGTTGACATTTAAAGTCAGTTATGAGGAATCCCGGAATGATAATACCGTGGATTAACTTTATAGTAATTGGTAAATTAGTAGCTAGTTTTTTTGCCGTATAACAGAAATGCGAAATTGTTGCTGAAATTTCCCGTTGTCATCATTTTGTTTGGCTATAAATTGTAAGAACTGGTAAAACCCATCGCGGTACTATCTGTGAGATCAATGCCAGATATAGTCAACGGTTTACTATTTATTTCAACCGTTGGTTTTGATATAGACTTAAATAAATTGAACCCTAAACATTCTGGTTGAGATCTAAATTTTGCAGAAAATGCTGGGAGCTTGTAATTGTCTTTGGTGTCATAAATTTTCTTTTGGTTTCCTAAAGAAAGTTTATGTTAAGCTAAAAACCACCAAGGGAAATTTTTTCCATGAGATGCATTTTTTCCTTTGACTAATCTGAAGCAATGTGCCCACAATATAACTCGTGACGTAATGAATTGAAGCATAAAATGGAAACTACTGCTCTGATTTCGTGTAAACGCGAATTTTACGCAGATTTCACGGTTTTGAAATTGGGTCAGGTTTCGTTTTAGTTTTGAAATTACGAATGGCACTTAGGCGGTGATTGATTGAAGAAGCGTTTGCTGGGTAGGGATTTCGAAAGGATACATTGCAATACATGCGATTCGTGGGGCTGTGTTTTCACTTGTGTTAGTTTTAGCTCTAATGCATTTCCAAGGAATCTGTTTTGCGTCTAATTAAGTTGAAAAATACCGGTGTATAACTTGGTATTGTATGTTAATCAAACGAATTTGAGTTCCTAAAACGAGTTAATTTATTGCGTGTTACTCATCAGTTGATGTTTTGTGATTGAAGTTGAATGGATTGACGGCTATGTTACGTAATTTTTGTTATAGGAGTGTCGAAATTTTGATAAGGATATTATCGTTTATTGATTTGTTGTGGTAAAAATGTTCATTATCGATTTGATACTGGGTCTGCACGAATTTTAATACTTCAGATTATTGTGTTTTTATGGAGCTGATATCAGAAGGAAAAGTATATAAAGACAAATCTGATAAGGACTTTTGTCCCATTTGGAAAAATCGAGATAAAACGACAATTTATGTGTCAAATATATCAGCCCTGTGTAAATACGTTTCAATAATAGTGTTTTATCTCTCATCAGTTTTCGGTTTTGTTTAGGCGGAGATAATAACATTTATTAACATCATAATGTCACATAATTCGTTTATTCTTTGTCTTAATGTAATCACACTTAAGAATTTTCGTTCGCAGGCTACTACGAACCCACATCTTTTTGTCTTACTAGCTAATATTGTATTTATGTGACGTAACCGTTGAAAACACTACAGACAATTAAAAAAAAAAAAACAAAATAAAAGTCGCTATAAATTGTAGTAAAGTGTTGTAAAAAATCTTGGACACCGTGTGTATGTAACTAGGCCATGAACAACTTCAAAGTTTCCAAACAAACACGAATCAATATTAAAAAAATGAAACACTTATAAATAACTTTCAACAAAGTTATTAATATGCAAATGTAAATAAAAATAAAAGTAGCTGTCCGAGGATAAAAAAGTGAAGTGCTCGGAAAATATCGTTTAATGAATACTCAAGCTTATGATAAATTGCAGCGATTTGGTTGCTTCTTTGTAAGACGGTATTAGTGGCAATTAACAAACTGGTAATCTGGCTTAACGTTGTACTCTTTGACAAGTAGTCATCCTTCGAGGTAAAATTCGCAGCGTGCTTTAAAAAAATACACAACTTTCATTTTGACTTGTTAGTTACACACCGTTTTTTATTTTCGGTATCTCGTTTCGGTGACAGAAACCTAAATGGGGCCATGTTGGCGTCACGTGCGCGACAAATTTTTGATGGTTTCCTAAATTAAAAGCATAATTATATAGCAATTATAATTAGCTGGCATTTCTAATTTTAACTTATGAGATTTCACTAAGGTTAATTTCATAAATATATCCCCTGGTGCTCGTAGGCGATTTCTATTAACCGCTTGATTGTATTCCACGGTCTTAAATCAGGTGACATTATCTCCTAATCCCGAAATAGGATCATTGTCAAATTTGTGGGATTTATAGCAAATAAATCACTTTAAAACAGGAGGCGGTTGATACATTGCAGAAATGTAGACCTTCAAATTGATTTAAAACAGGATGAGAATTTTTTTCAAGCGCGAAAATTAACGATGATAAAGGGTTTTTTGTCCGATTTATCACACAAATGAAAGTGACTGCCGTATGTTATTTATAGTAAGCGGACAATTTTCGCAGCTCCATACAATATCGATTTTTGGATGTTTGTGTCATTCCTTTGATCTCGTTTATGTTTTAATTTAATCAACAAAGTTTTGGATTTTTTCACAACAAGCTAACTTCCAAATTACTTGAGTTAGTTTGCACAGAAATCCTTCGATCGACCTTACAAAGAGAAATTTATTTAATTAATGTAAACAATTGCATAACTCACTTAAACAAATTGGTTCTAAAATGGAGGCAGAACTAATTTAGACAAAGTTGTAGCAGAACGTCCGTCAGAAATAAATATTTCTTTTAAATTAATTAATCTGAATATTGATGTAGAGTTTAGATGTAAAATCGTGCTAGGTAGAAGATTTCAAAGACATTTTTCTGTGGAGCTGAGTGGTCAGAATTCGTCTGGAAAAGTGAGTTCAACTTTTCCCAAGGTGTAATTTATGCATGTACTTTCTGTGTAGAGGAGGTCGTTCCAGAATCCACTGTTCATTACACCCTTTCTCGTGCCAGTGCTCTTTCTCTCTTTCTTTTATTCCGTGGCAAGAAACGCTGGGACTTTTTTAACTCTAAAATCGATTCTGTCTGGAATATCAAATCTATTTATAAATTTGTCACAGTCTCGGTTGCGGGAAATCACGTCTGTACACCTGATGATTCCTCGAGAGGAAAATCAATTCAGGTGGAAATACCATAGGTCAGTTTCTATCACCTTTAATGACGCAACCCGATCACGACCCGGTACGTCACACATTACTTCACCAATAAAAACCCACCATCGATTAAACTCCCATGATTGATTTTGTAAGACGTTTCGTGACCAAGGGTAGGTACCCATTCGCTCATCAATTATCACTCCTCAGGTGCGAAGATGTTCTTTGTTCTCTCGTCGTGCACCCTGACATTTAAAGGTCTCGATTTCTTCGCAAAGAGAAAGGCATACATATACATGTAAATGTAATCAATCTATAATTAAGCGTTACGTTATTGTTGTATATCCGCGTCCGATTGTAAACTTTTTTCAACGGAGTGCGGCCCTGAATTCGCTTGGTCCGCTTCCAAAAAACTTAAATATAGAGACGTGTCCAACGGTTCACGTTTTGCGGTGTTTACGACGCAACTAGTGACCTTTTTAGGGGGGATCACAACAATAAATACGTTTTCGAGTGCATCGACACGATCCAAGTGGAAAATAACGAAAAACGACCCAACCTAGGCGCACTTTCACTGGTTTATCGAACGACACAAAGGTCATCCGAGATAATCAAAAAGGGTACGGTCTAGCCCGAAACGAGCGAGACGTTTATTCCCTGGGTCAGGTAATACATATTTATCGTGCTTGTCGTTTGTGTTTATATATTTTTTTTATATTTGCATTTGTTTTATATGCTGGTAGTGTGACTAGTGAAAGTATATGTGTGTGTGTTTTGTGCGTGTCGACAATGTGTGTGCGGATTGATGGGTTTCGTAAGACGCGTTGTCGAAAATACGACATTTTTGCGCAGATTTAAAATCCGAAGGTTTCGGTGCGGCTTTAAATTAGAAGGTTTGCTAACCGCGAGTAATGAACCCGAGATTAATGAAGATAACTACAATAGATAGATCGGCTGTCACTTTTTTACTATAGCTCACTGATTTTTTTTTAACTTATTTTCCATATTTATTTCCTAGTGGTTTTTGTAGTAAATCATTTTTCGGGTTATATAATGACTGCGATTTTAATTACATGTATTAAATTGTCAGCGCTGATAGGATTGTTTGTTTACATTTATGTAACAAGGATGAAATTTTCGCAACGTTTTTAAAATAATGACCCAAAATTCTCAGTTGTTTTTAAACAAGAAATCAATAAAAGATTCCGGGATTTTCAACCTTGATAATAATATTTGACTTATTTTATTATCAGTTATCGTTAGAAATATGGATCGTGAGGTTATGTTTGTTGAATGTTTTAATTTTACGCCATTGTAAGTCTGTTATATTTTGTTGTCGAGGAAATTTCGCACTCGTAAATCAACCGTGTGTTCATTCATACTTATTTTTAAACATTCTTGTATATTCTGTCATATCGCCTCGGGCAGAAGTTTATTCACTTTTTATGTTTTTACTTTTGGCAAAAAATGTAGGTAAACGACTTCATATTAACATTTTTTCAGATAAAAATTCATGATTTAAAATTTTATGTAAAGAGGACACGTCATAAAAAACGATTATTATTTCAGGAAGTTAGTTTTATGTTGTTTTCAACTTTTTACCGGAAATGTAAATATTGTTGAGGTTTTTATCATAATATAGTAATAAACGGGTGGGCTGCGCTGAACACATTTTCTGACAATAAAAAAGTGGACCAAATATTTAAAAAAGCGTCCAAGGAAACAAAATTTAATCGGACAAAATTTTCCGTCATTCTTAATTTAGCAGAATTACGTATCAGGTTTCTAACGGGCAATTAACTAATAAAAGAAATGTCAACATGACTGTTAATTAAAAGGCTTTGATGTTCGCAAAGTATCAGCCAAGTACTACTTTCGCCCGTTATCCAACATCGCATGTAAATTTTTATTTGTGACGACCGAGGATGGTAGTCGAAGTGGAGACAGTGGCGTTGTATTTTCTCAGGCGATTTCTTTTTTATTGGCGATTTTTAGTGGCTTTTTCATCGATTACATCCGATGAGTCAAACCGCTGAAAAAATACCGTTTTTACGTATTAAGCACTAATTAGAAGAAACGTGGAATAATTATTTGAACTTATTGAATGAATTGAGGTTTATTTGTCTCAGATTTTAAATTTAATTATTACGTATTAGATACGCCTGAATTTGGCATATCCCAGGGGCCGAGATTGAGGCTGTTATTTTTTCCGATATTTATTAACGATCTTGACGTCATTCCGTATAAAAAACTGTTCTTTCTAGACGAGTTAAGTTTTCTGTTTTGATGCATATTGTGGTACCTAAAACTCTTATCTATTAATGTTCGGGAACACTTTCAATATTTACAAATTTGTCTTCCACAGGTCAACGAAATCTGCCCTAAGTACCACCTTCAAAGATTATGTAAATTTTAGTTAGCGTTTGGCCATCACAATATTCTAAAAACACGATTAACATTTCAAAATGCGTTAATTTTGGATATCAACAGGCAGACATACACACGGAAACCTGGATTTTCGTATTCTACAAGCAAGGAAACGTAGAAAAACATAGTGGCCAGCTTAAGCAATAAAATGTTACTTTTGGGTCTGTAGGTGTTAGTAGACGGTAATCGAGTTTATTTTCCAACTCTCAATCAGTAGTATCATTTTTGAACTTCTACTATAAAGTTACTCCATTCTGGTGTGTTAGCTAATTAACGTGATGCGCTAGTTGAGAATATAGTCGCAAAACTCGACTTTGACGTCTGTGGTCGTAAAAGCAAACGATGTGTTCAACATGAATATCGTTTCAGGCCGTAAAGCTGGAGAGCGTCCACACCGGCCGCATGCGCTACCTGGTAATCGTCTCTAGGATGGGCAAACGAGCGGAAGAGTCCTGCCTCTTGGGCATCGACTGCAACGAAAAAACAACCGTCGGTCTCGTCCTCAAAGTCATGGCCGACACGACCATCCGATTGGACGGCGACGGGTAAGTAAACAACACACGTGCGACAAAAATACTGTATTCAAAATAACGAATTACTCAAACGAAATAAATCACATCGTAGACGAAAAAATTAAATACATGTTAAAATCCAAGGTTAATGTACCTTGCGATACATGGGCTACTCCGAATCTTTATATTTTTCTCTGTTAATTCTTTGTTTTGGGTACAGTGTAGACGGAAAGGTCATCCGCCTTTCACACGACGACGCGTCGCGCCGTCTTCTGCACCGATCAATTCCTTTAAAACATCCTGTATATATTGTTTTCAGGGGTTTCAGCGTGAGCGTCTGCAACCGGCATCACATCTTCAAGCCAGTGTCCGTCCAGGCGATGTGGTGAGTGTCGCGAACTTTTAAATGTTGGGCAAGCGCGCCGCGACGCGAGGCGTCCCAAAATTAGCGCGCTTTATAGAGATGCGACGCCGTCCGTCGCTCGTCGACGCCATTTAAGGATATAGTGACGGTGGGTGGTGGGAGGTGGCGATTTGGAGTTTGATTCGGGAAGAGGAAGGGAAAAGCTTTTTTTGGGTTGAGGAAATTGGCCAGTCGGTGGTGTGATGTAATGTACAGGGTGGTCAACGCGAAACAGCCGCAGTAGGTTTTATTGGTTGTTAATTGGTTTGGCGTTGTTAGTGGCCTCGTCTGTCGTCATTGTCGAAGTGATAACTGATTATTTTGTGGCATTTTATGAATGGGAATGACGTAAAAATGGCTCGGTGTTTTTTGGTTTTAAAATGCTGCTTATGTAGGAGGCACCTTGAATAAAAATCAGAGTCATTAGTAATAAATGAGTTACGAGCTGTGTTCAGAGCGGTAAAAATAGTCTGGGATTCTGAATTAATCACTGTAAAAGAACCTGTATTTTACTAAGTTTTCATTTCATGACAATTTTTAAAAACGGTTGCCAGAGTGTCGGTATCGAATAATCAAACTAAATGACATTTATTAACAAGTGGAGTACCCGAAGGCTCTGTCTTGGGGCCGTTATTCTTCTTAATTTACACTAATGACATCTCCTCGGTAGTAAAGTACTCAAAAATGATTAGTTACGCAGACGATACATAAATTAATCACTCATTTAGCGTCGTCGTCTAGCTCGGTTCGTCGTCCGTTTTCACTCGAAATCTGCCCCTTGCTACGTGCTCGAGCAGGGGGCGCTTTCACCTACCGTGATGTAATTTTTGCGGACTTTCACGTTTTCGGAGACCTGTGGGCGATCGACGCGCTAAATAAGGGAAGCTGGCGAAAACGCGTCGGCCCCGTTGCCCTTAATTTGGCTTGGTCGTTGCTTTCGCCCGGTCGACCAGAAGGTCGTCTTAGATGTGAGGTGAAGATCCCCGCGAATTCCGAGCTCGTCGAACTGAATGGAGCGCGTCGTGAAGGTTAGAGGCCATATATGGAAGAAACGCGCTCCTTCGTCGGATACCCAACGGTAACGGTACCCGAAGGCACCACACACATTATTAAACGGCCGCTTTCATTCAGAACGACCGAAGCGAAGAGAAAAAGCGTCGCGGCAACTCGGCGAGACGCAAGGGCCAAGTGTGGGAAAGTTGCCTGTTATGGGCAACGGACGGTAGAGACGGCGACGGGTTTTTCTGAAAGAGGCGCAAAACGGGGCTACTGAGACCGTAGTTTGGGTACGGAGAAGGAAGAAGGAGACGTAGTTGGAGAGTGGATGGGTGATAAAAGCTTGTAAGCGGCCTGCGCAGTTGCTAAGTTTGGTATCCCCGCGTGGCGCTTTGTTTGTTATTATTGGCGGATTTGGGCAAAGAGCTATAAGTCATGTCAGCTTAATTGGCGAGTGTTCGATTGTTGACAGTCGAAGCTTTTTTATTGTTGTTAAAGAACGTAAACATTGGCACTGTTTTTTGAGACAACTGTTAGAACCTGCGTTGGAAAAATTATTTAAAGGAAGGTGAAATTCAAAATATTTTCGTATGGTCTCAGAAGAGGTGGAGCAGTCTAATACCTCTCGCTGCTGGGTAGCGACAATACTTCTACGGGTGATAGTAACTTTCGACAATTACTTCATAGATCCTTCTTTGGCAACTAGTTTATTAATGAATGTTCTAATTCTGTGCCTGTATGTATTCAAGGAATTTTAGAAATTGGTCCCAAGCGTACGACAAAATTAACAATTCGCTCCAACCAAAATATACTCAACTTCTTGGCTAAAGTTGTGGTAAAACTGTGACCATGATTTGTTAATTACGATTTTAACCAACAACTGAAGTAGCGGGTCTTAAAGTCATAATATTTTGTTGAATCATCTCTCTTCATCTTGGCCACAGTTAGTGATTCATGGCTGCTTCACATCGTTCTTAGTCTGAGTCAAGTGTTTGCCGACTTCGTACCTGTCCGTTTGCACCCCATCCTGGGGCCCCGAGCCGGTATGTCCGTTTTCCGCTCCCGGACCGCCGTAGTCCGCCTCTGTCCGTCGTATGTCTAAATAAGGCCTCGCATCTAAAGCAAGTTGCATTTACTGCCACTCCTCTCCTTTCCACGGCTTAATTTGCACGTCCATGCGACTATTAGATTCAGTATCTAGACGTTCTCGTGATCGTCAACGAGTTTTCCGCGTCTCGTTTCTACTATGGATCATAATAGAATTTGAGTCGGTTTCATCGAATCGAATAAACCCTGACTCGCCGCCCGTCGGTTTGTTATTTTGACTATAGTGAATCCTGATCGGGTGGTAGTTACAACATTTTTTAGACATTTTTGCTTGTGCTGTCACTTCTAAAAGGATATAGCGCGCGGGATTTTAGTGTTGGTGTGTGCGAGGAGGTCGTGTTGCGGATGATGGCCATGTTCGGTTCCTTCAATGACTACGGGTCCGACCAGTCGCTCTCGGATTAATCACCTGTGCGGTTGTGTGATTTTTTCGTGTTTTCTTTACCTGTTCGTCTAAAGACGATCGCCGGATTTAAGAAAAGTGGATTATCGCGGTACTTGCGTCCGTTTGGAGGGGAACAGACGTCAATGTTTATGTGATAATGGTTGTCAACCGCAAATCTAGCTTCACGAACCGATCCATGTGGGATGGTGATAGGTATGGACGGTTAAGGGTATTTAACTCGACGGTTTAACGTCACGAGTTGCTAAAGAAATGTCAACGGACGTAGTGACATTTTTTCGGGTTATTTCAAACGGTAACGTAATTGCCACTGTCACATAAATTCACCAGTTAAACTGAATTATCCCACACAATCAACAACACCTTTGTAGATATTTTTAAGAGTTGTGGATAGTATTGCAAGACCTTGGCAACCTCTCATTTGCTATTAAAAACTCGACATCATTTTTCATTATTGCATTTATATATTTTTTATATACTTTTCATTTTTAATGCAGGTGATTCACTAGTAATAGGAGCCCGACATAATTGGGAACGCAATCTAGAATACATTTATACATCAACACATATATGCCTAGCATAATCATACTGTAGAGTGTGGATTTTTTTTTGCTTTTTACCATACTCGTGTGGCTTTTGTTATCGGCCCACCCAAACGGATTACTACAGCTTAGACCGATATTTATTTACGATCCATCTTCCGATAACAATATGAATCATGATCATGACACCGCAGTTCGCAATCTTCATTGACCTTAAATCCATCAAAACACAACCCAAGAATGCTTTTCCCCATCGCTCAGGTGTTATGACAACACTAGTTGCTCAATCGCATTATTTAATAAAATGCCAAGTATAATAAGTTGGCGTCCTTGGAACATTCTTTGTTACAAATTCGTCCTAACCCTTTTATGACATCCGTGCAAAAAATGAGGCCACAAGTATTGAATAAAGATCGTAGGACCACTTCAAACGGCGAACTCGAGCGTCGAAACCCTTTTGAAACTCTTAAAGTTTCATTAAAACCCGTTTTAATCCTGCCTCTTTAATTGACCTATTTTCTTTTTAAAGGTCGGCCCTGCAAACTTTGCACAAAGTTAGTTCGAAAGCGCGCGAAGAAAACTACTTCCAAGGCGGTTTGACCCACGATTGGGTCGATTATTATGAGAAAAATATCGAATCGGACAGATCCTGTCTCAACGAATGGCACGCGATGGACAATCTCGAGTCGAAAAGACCACCATCGCCCGATTCGATTCGTACCAAGCCTACGGAACGTGAGGAAACCGAAAAAGTTATCCGGACGACATTGAAGGAGATCATGATGTCGGTGGATTTGGACGAAGTCACCAGCAAATACATCAGGACGAGACTCGAGGAGGACCTGGATATGGACCTAGGGGAGTACAAGAGTTTCATAGACCAGGAAATGCTGACCATCCTCGGGCAGATGGACGCTCCGACGGAGATTTTTGATCACGTGTATCTGGGGTCGGAGTGGAACGCTTCCAATTACGAGGAGTTGCAAAGAAATGGGTGAGTAGGAGAGGGGTTCTCTCAGTCGAATTTTGGTAGTAACATTTTGTACAGTTACGTATCACAAAGGTCGGAGAAATTCCAGCATATTTCTTGCGTGGTGTCTAGATATCTATAAACTGAAAACAGTGGTGCAAGCCGCGTCTCGAAATTTCCACAAGTATATAATAAAAATTTTTACCAAAATGGAAAAAAATGCTCTTCTATTGTGGACAGGTGACATTTAAAATTTCATAACAATAAGTCTGTTAATAATGGAGATATTATATTCTGAAAATGTGTTGAAAATCCTATGCGCCAAACGTAGCGACTCCTCTTAACTCTCATTATTTGTTTCAAAAATTAACAATGACAACTTTACTGTTAAATACACATGGTAGCATAGGTTTTATTATCGATAGTGCCAACGTAATCTCATAAAACATTAACTCAATGATGATTGGTAAAGAAACGACGTCATTAATGACGTGTACACATTGATCCGTTGCTTTGGTCTTATTGGGAAATTAATGCCCAAATCTCATGGTAGTCGTTACAATTTGATTGACAATCATAACTCGTCTAAGACCGTGTAATAACTAATAGAACTCTCCAACTTCTAAATTGAATTGTTTGTCTGTCTTATCTTCAGAATTTATAACAATGGTAGCAAAATTTAAGTGACCTAGACCTAGTTTCGTCCGGGATTGTTGTTAAACTTTTAGCTTGATGTTAATGGTGTGTTTGTTGTTGTAGGGTTGGACATATCTTGAACGTGACCCGAGAGATCGACAATTTCTTCCCCGGCACCTTCAACTACTACAACGTGCGGGTGTGTGACGACGAAAAAACCGATTTGTTGAAATACTGGGACGACACCTTCAAATACATCACAAACGCAAAACAGAACGGTTCTAAGGTTTTAGTGCACTGCAAGATGGGCGTCAGTCGGTCGGCCTCGGTCGTGATCGCCTACGCTATGAAAGCGTACAACTGGGATTTCCAGACGGCGATGCATCACGTCAAAGAAAAAAGAACATGCATCAAACCAAACACGAGCTTCTTGTCGCAGCTGGAAACCTATCAAGGCATCCTCGACGCGATGAAGAACAAAGAAAAATTGCAGAGATCCAAGTCTGAAACTAACCTGAAATCCCCGAGCGAGGGTAGCAAGATGGACAAGATCCCGCCGGGCAGCGAACCGACGCCGATCATCCAAGCCCTGCCTAAACACGCCGCTCTCTCCGGGCAGGACCTGAGGAATTTGGGAACGAGGCCAAAGTCGTGGTCGCCGGACAATTTACCAGAGACTGAAAAGGAAGCGGACAAGTCGCCGGTTTCCGTCTCTTTGGAAGATCTGAGCCAGAAGTCGGCCTCCAAAGAGAGCGTCAAGGAGAAGCAGGGGCAAGCGCGACACGTGCTGATGCCCTGCGACAACGGAGAGTCGTACAGCGTTTCGCCGAACCAGATCGTGCATCTTCCGGGACAGAGATCCGAGATCCCGTCCGTGAAGGAGCGCGTCAGCGAGCTCGAATCCAAATCCGGGGACGAAAATCCGGCGGAGAAGTCGCCGCCGATGCTCCGGGCGAACCTGCTCAAGAAGGAGATCTGGGATCCGGGCGATGAGCAAACGAAAGCGTCTTCCTGTAATAGTACAAGTAATTCCTGTGATTCCCGAACTGACAGTATAGTGAGTAATCAGACGGTGTGGACTTCCTCGACTGTAGTGAAGAACTTACCGGAAAGTGCTGTGTTGCAAGATAGTATTAATCAAGTTCCTCAGAAGGGGGTGAAGAAGGACGGTGACCCGTTTTCGAATCAGTTGGATCGCGTCTTCGACCGAGAAGAGAAAAAACAGCAGAAGATATCGGTCGAGCCGCAGATCGTGGAAGTGAGAGAGTGCCCGTCTAGACAGAGTTCGTGGAGTTCGTACGACAGTGCGGTGGTGTTGGGGTCGCAGACAGAAGTGGGACTGTCGAGACATAGCTCGTGGGGTTCGGGAGACACTCGGTTGCTTCCGTCGAGGAATAGTTCGTGGGGGTCGTACGACATGCGACCAAGGGGCAAAATGGAAGAAAGCTCATCCGGGATTTTTCCCTACGATAAAGAAGACATTCCGTGGAATCCAGGGACGGTGAAGAGGACGAAGAAGTTGATCGAAGAGAGCAACGGGAAAGGGAACGAAGGCGCGATGACGAAATCCTCAAGCTCAGAGACTCTGTTCGACTATACGGAAGAGAAGCAACCCGTCGAAGCCATCAACAACCAGTTGATTAAGAACTTGAGCGTGACGGTGTTGTCGCCAAGTGCCATAAGCCCGATGATTAGAATCCCGGGGGAGGACTGCAAGAGCCCGAATTCGATCCGGCTATCGGTGAGTGCTCCCGAATCGTCATCGATGGACTTGGTATCCCCGGACTGCTCCTTGTCGAGGTCCGCCTCGAACGTTTCTTCGTTGTCCAGAGACACCTCCACTTCCGTAATAAGCACAGCTCAGTGTTCTTCCGTGAAGCAGCACCGGAGTTTCTTGGAGAACCTCCCCCGAGAGTTCAACAAGGCGGCAAAACCGTGCGACGGTTCCACGTCGGGGATCGTGCGTAGTCTCAAAAAAGAATTCGAAGCGAAAACGAGCACAAACACCGAAGCGGAAAGCCTGGAGAACAAGAAGAACAAAGTGAACAGCATGCCGTCGTCCCCTGTAAGTGTCCACCAAGACAAAGAGAAAGTCGAGGAAATGAACTTTAAAAATTTGTTAGGTCTTTTCGAGAATAATAAGTCAGAAGCACAAGTAGCCAAGCGGCCGAAAAGCGGCAAAGCGTTCATTCCGAGAAACGCACGACATTCGTGCGTCGAGGTGACCAAGTGGAAGAACGGGAACGATAAGGGGGCGGAAAGGCCGCCGATATCGCCGGTTGTTAGGAACGCACCTCAGTGTCTAGTGGCGTCGGTGATAGCGAGTGCCAACAAGAAGCAGCAGCAGTACGGCAAAAGTCACCCCTTAGCCAGGCTAACTATCAAACCAAGGCACAACAATCCACTTTACAACACTATGTAATGCTCAAATTACAAAAAGAAATACGGCTGTGACTGCACTCTTTCTTGCGTTTGTTGTAATGTGTATTTTGTTTCGTGACGATTTTTTACTTTCCGCTTTCTCTCTCTCTCTCACTCTCTCTCTTTCTAACTGCTCATGAAATTATAGTAACGAAAAAACCGCTGTTATTATTCTTTCAATGTGTATAATACGGTTGACACTAAAGGCTTTAAGCAGTAAACTCGATAGTGCAAAGTAAATTCTAAGGTTAAGTGTCGCTTTGTGTACATAGGCGGAAATATTTTTCGACTACTGTAAATTTTCTTGTCACTGCTTACAACCTGCTGTGATTGTTTAATAGCAGCAACAAAAAAATTCTGTTACTCTCACTGCCAAAAATAACTGTGGACCATTTAACCAAACAATAATCTACGAGAGCAGGAGAGTTTCCGATTATTCTTTATTTTGTAACATATCAACATCACAATTTTGCTTTTAACTTTATTTAAACGGAATAATCCGACTTGGCTGTCAAAAATCTAGTCTGTATGTTGTTGCGAAATGAGGAATTACAGCCCCCCAACCCCACGAAGCTCAAGCCCTGGGCAACAAACTCTCAACTTTTTCTTTCTTTTTTTTATCCTTTTTATTACTTTCATTTGTACGTTTCCTTTTTAGGATAGACATTTAGTTAATGCTGTTCTTGCTTTGTGTGTATTTGTGTGATAGTTTCTTTTTTGTACAATAGCGTGTATAAATCAAATAAAATGTATCGCTTGAACATGTCAATAAAAAGCGATTCTTAAGTAAAATCGACTTGGTATAGTTTTTTCGCCGAAACGAACGCCATCTGTGGCAAACCTCCGATGTCGGTGCGCTGCGCTGCCACACCCTTCTTCGGGGGCCCTAGGTCCAGCGAGTAGACGGCAGACGGCAGACCCAGGACAGAAGCGGCACTCTAGAAGCAGAGGAGTTAGAACTAGTAGCTTTTATTAAATCCAATCACCGTCATTCTAATTCTAAGTTAATTTACGTTGTACCACATTAATCGATCGCCACTAACCTTGTCAAAAGTGATAGGTGATAGGTTAGGATAGCAGAGGTATTTTTATTGCTCTACGTAATGTCACTGACGTTACTGTGAAGCAAGTGATGCCAACCGTAGCACGTTAAACCCTGCCGTCGGTGAATTAGAATGTTTTCAGTGATCGGTTATCGGTCCGCTTATTTCTACAAGCATCCCATTGAGGGCGCTCTTCTAGAATTTTTGTTCGTGTGATTATAGTTAGCAATGATATCATTCGTTTTTAAATTGAAAGTAAGTAATCCCCGAGGACTAGCAGTGTTTATGGAGAACACTTAATTGGTTAAAAACAGTGGAAAGAACAATAAAAATCACAAAATTAATCTATTAGGTTTTAACAAAGAAAAGTCAATAGGTCTATATAAAAGGACCACAATTAAGATGGAAGAAACGGAAGAAAAAAGTTTTAAGAAAAATTGAGATACAAAGACGTGGGAAAGAAGGCAAAGAACAGAAAGAAAACCGTGACTGAATAGCGCGGTACTTACCGTATACGTGCTCAAATCTATCACCCTAAAAAGATTCGGAGAAGTTCCTCCACACACCGCGAAATCCTTAGAAGCGTAGGTCCCTATATACAGCTAAGAAAGGATTAATTCATACTTTAGGAATGGCGTCTCTAAAACCTTGCTATTGTGTTCTGTCTTCGCCAAAGTACCGATCATATTCCCAGAGACGTAATCAAAAATTTGAAAAGGTTTATCAGTCTGAAAGGCACACGTCAAAACTTCTGTTCCTTTATAACTAATATCTATTCCTTCTCCACACATGTGCACACCAGACAAGTGCCTGATCGCATGAGGTTGCCTCAAATCCCAGTAGTGTACCACGTCGTCCCACCCTCCTGTAAGAATCTCGTAGTTGGATCGGGGGTGAAAACAAGCTGCGAACACCCTCGACGTGTGGCCGTCGTGAATCTTAGGATTGTTACTAAGTTTCAAAGTGCGACTGTTTCAAACTTAGATGTGGTACCTGCTCGAAAGGATCCTTTCCTGCGTTTTGCTCTCCTCATCGTAAAGATAGATTTTGCAGTCGTCGCCGTAGGTCACGAACTTAGGGTATCGAGGGTGGTAGGTGATTCCAAAGGTCTCCCTGTTTTCTTTGATTGTGAACAGACACTGGCCGAAGTTGTAGTTCCAGGACTTGACGTAACCATTAGCGTCTGAAAGTTTTTATGACCGGTGAAGTTTTTTTGCGAGGGATTGTTTTACAAGTGCAGGTGAAGCAGTTGTTGATGGGATAACTTTTGGAGACTGGACGGTGTTGTATTGCTGTCACAGGTGCGGTTGATTTTTCTATGTCTTCGTCTATAAATCGAGAACTGAAGGTACCGTCGACGCTGTACATCATGATGCTGCCGTCGGAACAACCCGCTGCGATGTAGTCGAACACTTCGTTGTATTTACAGCACAAGATTTCTTTACCGATGTCGCTGCACTCAAAAATAAAGGAAAAATAAAAGTGCCGATTCGTGTATGACATGTAGTTATGTTACGTGTGTTTTATTATTTTATATGCACACATCCATAATAATTGATCATGAGCCAAAGTGATTATCTACTTTCTTCCATAAATTAAATTTGTAGTCTTGAAAAAAACTGTTGTGAAGTGTACGTGTTAAAATCTAAAATCATGGAGAAAAGAGTATAATTATATTCATTCGTGCATGTTAAAACCTTTTTGCCCTTTCGTATACTGCGCAAGTGCAGTAATGAGGACAACCACCCCCGACCACTTTAAAATAACTTTTTGTAAGCAGAAATAGTCGATCAATCCAGGTAATAAGTTAACAACAAAGGTTTGTATATAATAATTTCATATTTTTATATAACATGAACGAATCATGCATCAATATGATACCTACATTTAGCATGGTGGTTCTTTTTGCCCTGTCCTCCCCTACTTCAGTTTCTACGTGTATAATTTTTCCATTTCGTCAGATTTTTGAATTGTGATAATTTACTGTACTCACGTTACTGATAGCATTTTAATCCTTCCCTCTAAGGCCGTGTAGTCCTTGAAGGGTAACGTGTGTTGGATGTTGAGGGTTTCAGTTTCGGGTTCGAAAGAAGTACCCCCTAGCTTCCCCAGCGTGTCAACAGCTATGCTTTTCCTGATAGCCCCCGGTTGGGTGAAGGTGCTCAGCAAGGTGGGCCCCGCCATAGATTTTCTCTGGGGCAGGCCCTTCACTTTATCTTTATCCTTCGGTTTGCGTAGACTCATTCCGTTAATTTGAAGTTTGAATTTGGCGCCAAATGTCAAAATTTCGCAACGCGATATTTTTCAAAAATCCGTGATTTTTCTAATTAATTAATGAAACGTTATCGATGAGGTGCTTCGAAAGGGGGGACATTATTCGAGTTTTATCAGAAAATCGTTGAATGTTTCTACGAAATTTGTTTGTCGCGTTAGCCAATGCCAAAGAGTGGAAAAAGCACTAGAAGCTGGTAGGTGTCACCTTCTGTCGCAATCATTATTAATTTTATATAATGTCCAAGTGATAAATCCGATGTAGTAAGTTAATTGGGGCTTTATTGTGTGTTAATTGTCGCATAAGTGCCCGTCGCAGGCTCAAAATCGCCACGAAGTGTTGACATAACCTAAAAATTTAAATATGCCCACAAGTTATCGTGTTTATAAACAATCTTTTCTCGTCTGATCCTCGACTAGCTTCGTTCATTTTCCAGAAAAGAAATATGAGACGTGGTAAACCACAGCAGGAGATATACAGACCAGGCAGTGGACCCCTCAGAAAATCAAACACAGCAACCGAAGAGTCTGAACCCGACACCAACCTAATACTGACCAAATCCAAGACTTACGCGCACGATGAGACCAGGTACAAATCGGAGCCCTTAACGGAACCCAATCCCCAGCGCAAAACCCGCAAACCCGAACAGATGATCTACGTTCCTCGACCTGTGGCCAACGCCAGGGAAATGTCGCAAGACAACGACCGACACTCCGCCACCAACGGCAACTACGACGACCGTTATACCTCGAGATCGAAACGCTATTCAAACCGAAGGCGCAACGATAGCGGCAACTCTGACTTCCACGATGAGTGGAGGCAGCGCCAAGGCTCCGAACCCAAAGGCATGCCCAACGGGGGCAGCTCGCAACGAATGAGGGAATTAAGGGACACGAGGAGCGTGGAACCCTCGGGACCGCTCCCGTCACGCAATTACGATAAAGGTACAGAATTTGTTGATTTCTACCATGGTCCGACTTTTATTCTTTAATGTTGCTAGAACTGTCTAAAATGACAAATGTCGGAATTTTTATTATTTCTGTCATTATTGGTAGTAGTCATACTGCGATTATTATCAATAATCGTTTTAGTTTTTTGAACTTTGATAAAACAGTGCCTGTTTTTAAGAAGGTTTTTGACTTCACCATGTGTAATCAAACTTTTAAGCTGAGTAGTTGTAAAATCTGTTTCAAACATACACTTTTATGAAAAAGATCTGCTCAACAGTTAATTTAAAGTTTGTTTATTATTTCTAATCAATGAAATCAGTGTTTTAAAATTTTGTTTCTTCACATATCTGTAAATTATCATCCAGTGTGAAAAAGCTTACAATTAAATTTTGTGTGAATTGAAGGTGGATGATTAATGAATTTGGAAAAAACTCAAAATTGCTTTTCATGAATTTGACACAAACTGTACTTTAATTCACGAGTAAGGAAAAATATTGCCAGGCGCCAGCAAAATTTTTTCAAAAGCGGTATTATTCTTGTAATCTTTGTTTTTTCTGGTGCTATTAGTGAAAATAATCAAATATACTTTAAAAATATTTCCATCAACTGCAGTGCCAAGTTGTGTTTTATTTAAAAAAAGGTTTCATAAATTTTACTTATTAACAGCAGCAGCTTTAACATTGTATTTCATGTTCATTTTCTTTTGTAAGCTTAATCGTTTAGCCTCTGCTTTTAAATAATAGTAATACTTACCAAAAATACCGAGAGAAGAAGGTACAATTATTTTTAACATATATGAAATCACCATTTAGTGTTCTCACTATTGCTGTGTACTAAAAATGTATTTTCTAATTTTGATTTAGGTTTTCGTTTTATATTGTTTGGACTCTTCCTTGTATTTGTTATATAATATCACTAATTAGTTTTCAATACATAATTTATAACAATATAATTTATTGCCTTCTTTTTTCAAGGCTACAGACTTTCATTGTTGAATAGCATTTGTTGCAGTTCTATGTGAATATAAATCCAACTTTTGTATGTTTTACGTAATTTCCAATTGTTTCTAGACTTTTCAGTCTTTCATATTTTTTAGTTGCAACAAATTTGTTCTGTGAAAACAACTATTGGTATTTTGTCGATTTAAAAAAAAAATGGGTGTCCAAAATTCTCAAATCTGTATCAGCAAATGAAAACATGTGACACCGATAATTATAAATTTAACGTAACATCTCGTGCAGCTGTGAATCATTTAGCGGTTCGGGAATTGTTGTTTATTCTAGCACTTTCATCGTACCCGTTTTAAAATACGTCGCATAAAATAATTACATTTTGAAAATATGTATAGATAATTTTACAACGTTGACATCTTCAAGAAAAAAAATCAAATTTGTGCTTACAATGTTTTATGGAATTTTTTGTATGACTGTTTTCCAGTGGCCTTCAATCAGGTGTCTGTATTTCACGTTGAGTAAATGTTTACGTAGAACTGTCACTTTGATTTTCTCCTTTAACTAATTGTTTTTAATAGAGACGAGGGCACGTATTGTTTTCTAAAAATAACGCAGGCAAAATTACATCTAGTAACGCTGTGGAAATTTCGTATCTGGAAAACCCTATCGAGACGCGCGTCAATTTCTTAACGCGAATGTTAAAACAGAATCTCGAGTTACGGTGGCTTTCAGGATGACAGTTTTGTGATAATAAAATATGTAGGAGTTGTTTTTGTTTTGAGTCATTCAAGACAGAAGAATGTCGGCGATGATAATAATATTTATATTTTTACTTTATTTACCAATGAAGTTGGATCTAATGTTGCTCAAGGTTTATTTCGTATTTAATTTGAGTTTCTACAGTTTCAGGGTATTTGTATGTACATATTTATATTTTTGAGACTACATATACTGTAAAACCTCGCTATAATTTTTTATGCGTAGAGATAGGTGAGACACGACTGACACGTATTAAATATATTAAAAGAAAACGTATCCATACGTAGTCTGTCTCAATCAAGTCTTATAATTTTTTAGCTTTTTGATACAATTTTTAATTTTTTCAAATTTTCTTTTTTCAATTTTTCAATTTCTCAACTTCCAAATTTTATATTTTTCGTTTCCTTGATCTTTCAAGTTCTTGATTTGTATTTTTCATTTTCCCGATTTTTTCATTTTCATTTTTTCGAATTTATGTCACAATGTTTCTTTTTTCATTTCTTTTATTTTTTCAATGATTCTTTCGATTGTACAGTTTTCGTGTATTCATTCGATTTTCCAATTTTTAAATGTTTCAATTCCCAATTATCCGATTTTCCAATTTTTTTGATTGTCAATATTTTGACTTTACAGTATGTACTTCGTTTTTTCGATTTTTTAGTTTTCTCAAGTTTTTTTCTTCCAATTTTTCAAGTTCTTGATTTCCAGTTTTTAGACTTGCAAAGTTTTCATTTCATACTTTTTTGTTTTTTCATTTTTGATTTTTCAATTTTACAATTTTGCAATTTTTTGATTCGAAAATTTGAAGAATAGAAAAATTTTAGAATCGAAAAACTGAAAAAATGAGAAATAGCAAAATCGAAAAATTGCAAATCGAAAAATTGCAAATCGAAAAATTGGAAAGAAAAATAAACGATTCGAATCGAAAAATTGGAAAACCCACACCTTGTGGTTAAAATTATAAAGTCGAAAAACTGAAACATTGTAAATATAATTTATGTACCTAGTATCTTTTAGATGAAAAATTTTTCAATCTCTGTAACATAAATTTAAATATTGTAAAGCTTAACTCCATGTTCCCGAATCCGTCTTTTTTTATACAAATTTTCACAAATCTGATTGGTGATTGGTTATATCCGTTCTGTGTACCATAAATAAATCATTTTAAGTTCAACGAAGGTTTAATTCTTGTTGACATAACATAACCTAGCTTTCGAAGTTCAGCCACAGACAATACCTTTATTCAAGTTATGTTGTGAAATTGCGAATTTGTTTTGGCAACAAATTTTTGGGTATTTACCCGGTATTTTTGGTTTTTGAATTAACGTACAGTGTGATTCAAAATGTTTCTCATCAGGAGCAGGCATGAAAATCAAATTCACCTATCACGGTCTCTCACTCTTCCAATCGAATTCCGAATTATTAAATATAAATTAAATGTACTATAGTTTTGTTCTAATTTATTAAAGGTTTTTTTTTATATAAAAAAAATCATCACTATTCGAGAAATTAAATTCTGAATCGGGATCAGATTCTTCTATATTAATCAGAGACTTGATTTAATTTTCTATTGTAAAAAAAGTTAGGTGTGTGAAAAGGGTCGTGCCCTATTCAATTTTTATTTCCCGAGCGTAAACTAAGAAAGTATTGTAATCAAGTCCAGAGGACGAATGGCCACTTTTATATTTTCTCAACGTTTCATGATCTCTAGAGTACGAAAAAAGTAGTCTTTCGTTTCCGTTTGTCTGTCTGTCTGGTGTCTGTATCCATTATTATTAAACACATAATCTCCGAAACTGCTGGACTGATTGTTGTCAAATTTTGTATGTATATTAGAAATATCATGTAGATAGTTAAATGCTAACCATAATTTTGCGAATCATCTCCACCAACAATTTGATGACGTTATTTCAAAGAATTCTATATTTATTTGATTTAACTATTATACTACAGTATAGTCCTATAAGTGTGGTGTACGAATCCGGTTTGAGTTTTTCCGTAACCGTCCAAATTTATTTTTGCAAAAACATAATGCACGATATAATAAGTAATAGTTTATCATTAGCGTAAGGCATCCCGGTTGTGGTCTAGTGATTTCAAACGTGGCATCTCGTTTTTTTTCTTTTTTTTTTTCCTGTTTTTCTCTCGCATTGTGTATTATCTATGTTTATGACGTTATAACAAATTTTTTATTGATGAAGTTACCCCACTTTCCCGAAAAGGTGAGAATACTCTCTTTATTTAAAAAGCTTCTCGAGGGCGCCGAATGTCTTTTTTTATGTGAAACCTTCCCGTGGGTCCCAACTGTCTTTTTTAAAAATTAAAACTTTTCGGGGGCGCCAAATGTATTTTTTTAAGAATGTGCAACCTTCTCGGGGGCCCCAGTTGTCTTTTTTAAATATGTAAAACCTTCTCGGGAGCGTCAACTGTTTTTTTAGAATGTGAAACCTCCTCGGAGGTCCCAAATGTCTTTTTTTAAAAACAGAAACTTTCTGGGAGCCCTCAAATGTATTTTTTTTTAAGAATGAAACCTCGGGGGCCGCAAATGTGTTTTTTTTTAATGTGAAACCTTCTCGGAGGTCTCAACTGTCTTTTTTCAAGAATGAGAAATCTTCTCGGGGGCGCTAAATGTCTTTTTTCAAGAATGTGAAACCTTCTCGGGGGCCCCAAATGTCTTTTTTTAAGAATGAAACCTTCTAGGGTCCGAACAACTGTTCTTTTTTTAAGAAAGCGAAACCTTCTCGGGTACCCCAAGTTGAGTGTCTTTTTTAAAAATGTAAAACCTTCTCGAGGGCGTCAAATGGTTTTTTTTTTAGAGTGTGAAACCTCGGAGGTTTCAACTTTTTTTTTTTTTTTTTTTTTTTAATGAAAACCATCTCGGGGGCTCCAAATGTGTTATTTTTAAAGTGAAACCTTCTTGGAGATCTGTCGTTTTTAAAAATAAAACACCTTTTCGGGGGTCCGAACTGTTTTTTTTTTTCAAGAATGTGAAATGTTCTCGGGAGCGCCAAATGTCTTTTTTAAGAATGTGAAACCTTCTCGGGGGCCCCAAATGTATTTTTTTTTTTTAAGAATGAAACCTTCTCGAGGGTCCCAACTGTTCTTTTTTAAAGAAGGCGAAACCTTCTCGGGGGCCGCAAATGTGTTTTTTTTTAATGTGAAACCTTCTCGGAGGTCTCAAGTGTCTTTTTTCAAGAATGAGAAATCTTCTCGGGGGCGCTAAATGTCTTTTTTCAAGAATGTGAAACCTTCTTGGGGGCCCCAAATGTCTTTTTTTAAGAATGAAACCTTCTAGGGTCCGAACAACTGTTCTTTTTTTAAGAAAGCGAAACCTTCTCGGGTACCCCAAGTTGAGTGTCTTTTTTAAAAATGTAAAACCTTCTCGAGGGCGTCAAATGTTTTTTTTTTTTAGGTGTGAAACCTCGGAGGTTTCAACTTTTTTTTTTTAATGAAAACCATCTCAGGGGCTCCAAATGTGTTCTTTTTAATGTGAAATCTTCTCGGAGGTGCACTGTCGTTTTTAAAAATAAAACAACTTTTCGGGGGTGCGAACTGTTTTTTTTTTCAAGAATGTGAAATGTTCTCGGGGGCGCCAAATGTCTTTTTTAAGAATGTGAAACCTCCTCTGGGGTCCCAACTGTCTTTTTTCAAGAATGTGAAACCTTCTCGGAGGCTCAAATGTATTTTTTTAAGAATGTGAAACCTTCTCGGGGGCCTCAGTTGTCTTTTTTAAATATGTAAAACCTTCTCGGGGGCCGCAAATGTGTTTTTTTTTTAATGTGAAACCTCGGAGGTCTCAACTGTCTTTTTTCAAGAATGTGAAACCATTTCGGAGGCCCCAAATGTCTTTTTTTTTTTAAGAATGAAACCTTCTAGGATCCGAACTGTTCTTTTTTTAAGAAAGCGAAACCTTCTCGGGTACCCCAAGTTGAGTGTCTTTTTTAAAAATGTAAAACCTTCTCGAGGGCGTCAAATGTTTTTTTTTAATGTGAAACCTTCTCGGAGGTCCACTGTCGTTTTTAAAAATAAATCACCTTTTCGGGGGTCCGAACTGTTTTTTTTTTTTTTTTTCAAGAATGTGAAATGTTCTCGGGGGCACCAAATGTCTTTTTTACGAATGTGAAACCTTCTCTGGGGTCCCAACTGTCTTTTTTCAAGAATGTGAAAGCTTCTCGGGGGCCCCAAATGTTTTTTTTTTTTAATGTGAAACCTTCTCGAGGGTCTCAACTGTCTTTTTTCAAGAATGTGAAACCTTCTCGGGGGTCCCAACTGTTCTTTTTTAAGAATGTGAAACCTCGGAGATCCCAACTGTCTTTTTTCAAGAATGTGAACACTTCACTGGGGCCCCAAATTTTTTTTTTAACCCCCACTTTTACAACTCCATCTGTTCGGTAAATGGAGTATAACATCCAAGTGAGCAGTGATTTGTTCCTTATATTTCGGAGTGTGTAACTATAATGGCAACAACAATTTAAATATCATAATCATTATAATAATAAGGCACATTGAAATTTGTGACTGAAAATTAAGGCTTTTTTTTAATAAAACCAGCAAAGAAATAAATACGATAAATGAAAATGAATAGGTGATTTCAATAAAATTTGACCTTTAGCGATATTGATTAAGACTGATTAATTTAGAAAAATTAATGATATCGTACTTTGCTCAGTTGGAGCATACATCTAGAATTCATCATTCTGTTTATGATTAACTTAGGCCACTTTTTAAATACGTTATCTGTAGAATTAATAAATTGGCTTCCTGTTGAGAAAAAAAAAAAAAATTTTTTGGAGATTGCAGTTAGAAGAAAACTGTAGGATACTTTTCGAACATCTGCTGCACATACCAATTTATTTATTGTCTTATTTATGAGATCACAAAAAATTATGATGAAAAAGTTGACATTTTTTCAACAAAACTGTTTTTTTTTTGCTTTGCGCAACTAATTAGCTACTTTATTTTGATTAAATACTGTTATTATATTAAAGGTCACACGAAGCCTCCCAGCGGACGTCGCCACAGCACAATAGGGGTGGAGTCCGACAAAAGGCCCATCCACAAATCTTTAAACGTAGACAAGCTGCCTCCGCGACTGCGCAAGAAGATGCTAGAAGACAATAAACTAAATCAAGGTGTCGATGATAATTGGAATGGTGCTAGTATGACGTTTCAGGGTAGTAGTAATTATCACCCCGTCGGGGGTTACTCATCACATAACACATACCCCAACCAAAACGTGTCTTATTCTAATATGGGGTACTGCACTTTACCTAATAGACAGAGGGGCAGAGGCCGTTTGCAGTCGGATTACGAGATGAACCCTTCATACAGGTCGCGGACTCCAGATTTGGGTGTTTCGAGTCCCTCCAATTCACGGCCAGCGACGCCGCCCTATAGTAGAGCTAGGAGTAACGATAATTTAAATAAGCCCGATAGCCGGCCACAATCACCTGCTAATTTTTATGGAAGGAATTACGAGCATCGGAGGAACGGACGGGAGAGGAATAATAGGAGAAACCACTTTGGGAATGGCAGGTCGAGGGATGATAGAAGGAATCAGAATTACGAAGTGCAGGAAGAGACGTGGGACGATGTGGACGAAAAGGGTCCCGCTAAAGTTGAATATCAGGAGAGTTCGTCGCCTGTGACGCCTCCGACGCCGGAAGAGAAGGTCAAAGTTAGCGTAGCTCCTATTACCAACAATGCGATTTTGGTAAGTTTGAGGATGGGATTTGGTGCGTTAGATAGTGATATGTGATTTTTGATAAACACATTGAATTACGGTATCATGTGATAGCGAGAGATTATGTAGATTATGCTCGTTTGTTCTAGTTTTTTACGTTTTTATCTGGCTGTTGGGTGGAAAATGTTGATGACCTCATGTGAATGCGAGCATTTTCTTAAACCGATGACTGTGTGCCACTGTTAAAATTAGATTAATAATGACACGTTCAGTAATAATTTATGGTAGTTGGCAAAAGTGAAGCTTTATAATTTCGTGAATATTTATGGGTGTGTTGTCATTTTTTTTTTTTTAAGTTGGCAGTTCAAGAAAAGTTATCAGATATTAATTGTTATCTTTTTTATTGGAATTAGATTTTTTTCCACATAACGTCGAATACGCAGAATGCAATGTCTTAATAACAGTTAAGCCTAGACCATGCCAAGAAAAATGTATGTTATTATAAAATATAACAACGACAACATTAACATAACAACTAACCTTTTAAATAGTTTGACATTGCAGTAGATACGTTGAACCTGGATAAGCTACAATTACAATTTACAAACGTGTATTGGCAAGGCCTGTTAGACATTTAAAAAAATTTGGCGACGAAAACACGATCAAGTTTAATGTCAACCTGATTTCAGGTTTTACAGCTTGTACAATATGGAAATGTCGGTCTATCGTTTCCGTCTGTTTGTCTGTTAGGGATTTTATTTGACGCATAATCTTCGAAACCGCTGACAGAAAAACGAAAATTCGTTCATCAAACAATCTAACAATTTAATGACGTCATTTTAAAATTTCACCAGGTATATTCCACTTAAATTTTATGAAATAATATGCTTCAATAGTTCCGTTGGACCTCTAAGATTTTTGAAAAAAAAAAAAAAATCAAAATTACAAGAAATTTACAACTCTTAAAACATGGAAAATCGCTCATGAAAATTTGTTTGTTCATCCCTCCAAAATCTTAATGACGTAATCTCAAAATTTTGCTCTAAATCCGATTCAAAATGTGTAAAATGTAGGATTTCTTCAGCACTATTTTGAGGGAATAGCATACACGTTTTGATTAGCGATTTATACTTCCCATAACCTTAAAACGCTTGCAAGATTTCAAAGTATTCAATTTTGGTGTTTCTAAGTTATATTGCAAAATATTGTTACACAATTTTGATTTTTATTTTTCGAAAAATCTGTATCTGTAAGATAAAAAACAATATTCATAAGCCATAAATGTTATTTTATGAAATTTAAATAGGATTTGATTTGCAAAATTTTAATATTAGCACAAAATTGATGATGGAGATGATCGGACAAATTTTGGTCAGCGTTTTACCATATATATATATTGTCACAATAATCAGTCTAGTAGTTTCGGAGATTATATCTATACTAATATAAAATAAAATAAAGAGAAATTTTCTGACTCAAGTCAGAAACACGAAATTTGGGCAGTAAATTTGTGTTGTGGCCTAAGTGAACAATAAGAAACACATAGTCTACAATATATTTAAATAATGAAACACATTTCATAATCTTTCAGTATTCATCCCTCAAGGGTGTAAAATCGGTTATGAAAATTAAGGATGAAAGGATAAAAATGTTTATGGTTGATTTGGTTAAAATACTTTAAATGAATAACAGTAGATTTTTGTTTTATGACCTAGGTAAAAAAAGAAAGAATTTTTGTAAATTTCACCTCTAAGATTTAGAGGATGATTTTTATTTGCTCAAAAGCGCAGGTTCTTCGAATATTAATGCCTGGCACTACTTTTGACTTTGTTTTAAATTTTAGATTCTACCGCTTGTCAAAATAGATTTCAATTCTCACTGTACAGTAAATAAAATAAACCAGAGAAAAAAGGTAGGAGGAGCTGAGTTTAGCTTTTTTCTTAAGAGTCTTCTAAGCAAGCAGCTCGCTGACTTTCAATTCCAGTGACACTCTTATTATTATGCAGTCTTACCTTAGCAAATACTAGCCCCGCCCACCGCCCTCTATTTTAGTGGAGTGTTTGTCATTTCCCAAACTTCGTCTTATCTTGGCATATACTACGCCCGCCCACCCGCCCTCTCTTTTCTTAGAGGATATGGTATTTGCCAAAATCAGTTTTACCTTTCCAAATTCGTACTAACAAAAAAAGAAAAATTAAAAAAATGCAGTTCGAAAAATTGAAGATGTCAAAAATTGAAAAATCGGAAAGTGAATAATTAAAAATTGAAAACTCTTGAAATTCTTTCTTCAGAACCAGTAAGAATGAATGATCAAAAGGGAATCGGGGTGAGTGGGAAGGGCCACTTTTTACTTTGTTTTAAATCTCAGTTTCTACCGTTTCTCAAAATAGAATTCCATTTCCACTATACAGTAAATAAAATAAGTCAGTGAAGTAGGTAGTAGTGAAAAAAAGGTGGGCGGAACTGAGTTTAGCGTTTTTCTTCAGCGTCTTGTAAACAAACAGTAGCCCCGCCCATTGACACCCTTTCAATTCCAGTGACTATTTTTATTATTGTGTAGTCTTACCTTTGCAAATACTAGCCCCGCCCACCCGTCCTCTATTTTATTAGAGTGTTTGTCATTTGCCAAACTTCGTCTTATCTTAGCATGTACTAGCCCCGCCCACCCTTCTTCTATTTTCTTAGAGTGTATGTCATTTGCCAAAACTAACCTTAAGGCCGTGTGACACGATGCTAAATTTATGACAAATTTTTGTACGAAATTTAGTTCGAAAAAATGTAACTAAATTTACAACTAAACAATATATCTCCTGTATGCCACCTTACTAAATTCTCTTGTAAATTTACCATTCGCGCATGCGTAGTGAGTGAAAATTTTCGGGAATTTAAGAAATAGTGTTGGTAATGGTGATTGGTAAGGTGCGTTTTTCAACATAACCTCTGTGACATAACCTACAATTTGTTTGTTTATTATTTACTTATTAATCATTTATAATGAATTGTGAGGAAATACTTGTTTATACAACTATTGCTGCTTCGAGTATTGTTCTAAGCTGCTATGCCAATAAAACAAATCGGAAAATTCAAAGAAGAAAACGACGTTCACTATGGAGCAGACCTTGGTTAACAAGGCGACAAGAAGGACGAGATATTTTAAACATGTTAAATACCGAGTTGTTGCCAGAAGATCCAATTGCATATCAAAATTTTTTGAGATTAACGGGTGCTCAATTTGTGGGCAAAAGAACTGTTTGGTTATGTTGATTTCATCATGGCGTCGTACCGGTTGCGCCTTATCGTACTGCGCAGTTTTCGTAACAAATTTAGTCAGTATTTAGAACGTGTCCTAAATAATTTCTCACCAAAATTTGCACACAAATTTAGCATGTAAATTGTGTATGACACGGTACAATTTTTTGCACAAAAAATATCTCACTAAAATTTGTCATAAATTTAGCATCGTGTCACACGGCCTTTAGTATATACTAGGCTCGCCCGCCCACCCTTTCTTTTCTTAGAAGATATATTATTTGCCAAAATCAGTTTTATCCTTGCAGTTTTACCTTAGCAAATACTAGCCCCGCCCACCCGCCCTGTATTTTTTTGGAGTGTATGTCATTTGCCAAAATTAGTCTTACCTTAGCATGTACTAGCCCCGCCCACCCGCTCTCCATTTTCATAGAGTCTATATTATTTGCCAAAATTAGTCCTATCTTAGCATGTATTAATTGTATTTTTAATTATTAGAAATAGAAAAAGTCAAAGGACAAAATTGTACGGTTTTTTGAGACTTTATTTTAAAATTATTTTTAATCATATAGTGTGTTGTTTTTAACGCGTGACACACAACTTCGTTTTTTTAGATGAAATCCTATTTATTTTTTTACTTATTTTGATATACCTCTTCTCAGGTTTTACGACTCCAGTTTATTTTTAAATCTGTGTTACAATATTTTGCGGAGAAATAAAAGTATGCGCTTTGTTGTGATATAACTGAAATGAAATTTCATATACACAGTGTTTATAAAAAAAATCTTTGGGTATTACATATTACGTTTTTCAAATATCGGTATTTCAGTGTTTTCAAATGGAACACCTATAATTTATTAGTGCATGTTATTCTATTTTTTTGTTCCCTTCCCTTTTTGTTAAGTATTTTCTATATTTAAAGTTGATAGTTACTGACATACTAGAAAAACGAGAACAAAAAATAGAGTAAGATGCAGTAATAAAATACAGGTGTTCTGTTTGAAAAAACTGAAATATTGATATTTGAAAATTGTAAAGTGTATAATTTTTTATAATCACTCTGTATTTTAAAATTTTATTTAATTGATACCACAATAGAGCGTGTACCTTTATTTATCTTTCCACAAAATTTTGTAAGATAGACTTTAAAAATAACCCTACTGTGATTTTTTTGTGAACCCCTCCGTTGTCAAAAAATTTCAAGAAAATTGTAATAATCTGGCAAAATCGCATCAGGAATCTAGGGAGAAGCTAAAGAGAATATGTTAATATATGTAAGGTGTTTGAGTTAATAAAAATTTTAAAAACAGAACACTCTGTATACTTCAAATTAATTTTAGAGTATAATCCATAAAGAACCGTATAACTTTGGCTTCTTGTTGTATGTGGAATAATTAATGAGATATCGAGCAGTGCACGGTTAATGCTTCACCCTTTATAAATAATAAAACACATAATTTCATAAATGGTGTAAAATCAGGGATGAAAGTTAATATTGTAAAGATAAAAATGTTTATGGTTGATTTGGTGGAAATACTTTTAAATGCAGACAAGTCAAAATCACGAAATTTGCACAGTAGATTTTTCTTATGTAGTGTCTAATAAAATCATTAATAGACGACACACGAAAATGGGAGACTTACTTTTTCGTTCTCTAGAGCTTATGAAGCGTCGATAAAGCATCAAATTTGCCTCTGCTGAATTCACTTTTATATTATTTATCCGCTAAACTAAATATGTTTGAGTGTGTTTCATTGGTAATTGAGGTTATGTTTAAATATCATATAACTTAGACTTTTCTTTTTTCTAATGTAAATGAATTCGTTTGTTTTATCAAGATCTCGATATATTTGTGACTTTATTTACAACCTTAAGATTTTCTTTTGTCAGTTCAATTCTCTGAAAAGTTGCCACAAACATATCATTTGCAAAAACCAAAAAATGAAAACTTTTTGATTGAATTAATTTGGATTGTTGATTAAAAATAATAATAATGATAAAATAATTTGCAATTACTAGGATTGGAGCGAAGAGGTCGAACTCAACGACCGCCTTGAAGCCGAAGCCTTAAGTGATGCGATGACCCGCAGCTCATCAGTAACAAGTTTAGTCGACATCAGTGTCAAATCCATGCCTCCAAACCTTACCAACAATAATACCAAAAAATCACGAAAGTAAGTACCATTTTTTTTACTTTGTCCTCAAAACGTATACAATATTCTAGGAAGTGATTTACTAACTCATTTTCCAGACGTAGCAGTCGAAGAAACAAGCGCCGTAGTAGCAGCCGCGCCCGCGACGCCAGCCTCGATTCCAAATCCCGCCAAACCGACAACTTCAAAATGCCCTCCGAACCCCGCGGCCGCCGCCACCGCCGCCACTCCCGCGACCGCCGCGACACGAGTTTCGACCGACGCTCGCGCGACCCCAGCTTCGACCGCAATCGACGCGGTTCGACCGCCGAGCCGGAAAACTGGCGCGAAGAAATCAGGAGCCGCCAGAACTCGGAACGGGACTCGGACAGAAGCCGAAAGAACTCGGAACGGGAGAACGACAAAATCGTGAAGAAGGCCGGGGTGCTGGTGCTGCCACAAAAACAACCCGAGGTGCCCCAAGCCGATCAACCGAAGTACCCCGAAGTGCGCAAACCCTGCCAGCAGAAGAGCTTGTTCGACCATAACAATCCTAGCAAACCCATCATCGTCAAGTCGCAGAGCTCGAGGGTGAGCGTTCCCGGATTCTCAGACAACACCGAGGCGGCGCCACCTCAGATGTACACCACGGATCAGTTTGGGAATATTCGGCCGGCGTGGTACGACGAGACTTCGGAGGGTTTTAGTTCTTGCCATTATCCTAATTTGATCAAGGACGTGAAGAGGGCTGATAATGAGTTGCAATATATCATGAATTCGGGGCTGGTTTTGATCAATTGGGGGACTGTGGAACAGCTGAGGCAGTTTTTGAAAGAAGGGCTTCAGTATTTGTTGTGTAAGGATTTGAAGTTTTGTCAGACTGAGAACGTCGAACAGCATCTGTGGAAGATTCTCTATCATAATATCATAGAGGTTACGAGGAAGGCTATCACTAACGATCCCGCTAATAAGGAACAGTATAAAGTGTTCTTGCTTTATTTGATTGATGAGGGTACGAACTACTTTGAGAGTTTGCTTGATTCTTTGGAAGAAACCTACAAATTTAAGTTGAATAATTATTTGGGTAACAACAATATGGCACAACCGAAAGGTCTAGGGTACATCGGACTTGCGTTGATCTCGGCGCAAAAGTTACTTTTATTTTTGGGAGACCTGGGAAGATATAGGGAACAAGTTAATGAGACTTCCAACTATGGAAAGTGTCGGCAGTGGTACATCAAAGCTCACGAAATCAATCCAAAGAACGGAAAGCCATACAATCAGTTGGCAGTACTGGCGGTGTATGCTGTAAGTCACTTGGGTACTTAAGAGGAGAAGTTCACCTCTACTTTGAAAATCACGCCTTCAAAAAATGTTTTGATTTTGTCTTGACTTTAAGGAGATAACTTAATAATAATAAAAAGACAATAACATAATATTAACTTTGAAAATAAATTGTGATTTCCTATGTGGAGTGAATTTCCCTCTTGATCCACCTGTCATAATCGCTTGACATTTCCAGAGGCGAAAACTGGACGCTGTTTACTACTACATGAGAAGTTTGATGAGTTCAAATCCCGTTCCATCGGCCCGCGAATATTTAATTTCTTTGTTCGACGAAAACAGGAAGAAGGTGAGTGTTACCATTTTCACGTTGCTCCAGTGTACTGTCATAACACACAGCAATCTGTTTTGTGTGCTGCCAAAACAATTTCGTAACGTTTCTAGATGTATTACGAATTTGCGCATATGCGTCTTTTTTTTTAAGAAACTGACTCATTGTGCATGTATTCGGGAAGAGTAAGCGTCTTCTATTTAAAACTGTGGTAAATTCGCGGTGAAATTGACTCTGGCAGCTTGTACTTTATATTAAAACCCATCTTTAGTTGTGGTGCGTCCAATAGAAGATGCGTTTACACTCGGAAGGGGAAAACCGTGTTGGTGTATAACAGAGGGCTTTGCTTTTTCGTTTTTGTTTCCCTGGCATTCCATCCACGATCATCACACCACATCGTAACTGTAAACACCGTTGTTGCACCCCACTACTCGAGATCACACGATTTAACAAGGTAGATTATTCATACATTCTGAGAAACGCACTCGGAATTATCCGTTTTAAATTTATAAGATCGCTGACTTGCGTTTTTTAAATGGTTCCATGGAACTTTTGGCGTTATTATCGTGTGGGTTTTAATATGAGGAAACTTGTTCTATGCTCATTTTGTGTTAATGACGGAAGAGTCACACATTCGATGGTAATTTCCCGTGCAAGGAAGATTCATTGCTGGGAATTGTTATAACGTTCTTTAATTGACGTCAGAGGTTGAGAGGTGTGTTGGTATGAGTGCCGGTAGAGGGCGTAAGCTTATTGTTTGGTAAGCTTATCTAACCGGCGATTTGTTTCTTTTAGTTTTTATTGTTTAGTAGAACATGAGAGTTTTATTTTCTCATACTCATTTGTTTATTTTTTTTACATGCAGTATCTTCATCAAATGAGCGTACGTATGAGTAGTCGAATAAGATCGTACAACTCCGAGAATAATCATGTGTAGTAATGCTTAATTTGTCTCTTTTGGTTGGCTACAGGGGTGGACAAATCTGAAAAAACACTTCTTTATTTTATAATCGCTACAAGAAAATATGAAAAATAGGTGTTTGTGTTTATTACAAATGTTATTACTTATTTTTCAGTTTACAATTTTAAAAGCGTTCATTGTATACACAGGTGGACAAATTGTTACCTTCCCAAAATTGCAAATAAACCTTATAAAAATAAATTTTAAACCACGAATCAGGAGTAGACTATTATTATTTTCGGGGAAGCAGATAAACTGATCTTATTTTTTCTTATTTTATTTTTTCTTTTCTGGCCATACTGATTGGGCAGTGGTTGAGAATATTCTTTTATTTTTTATCTCTTTCTACATTTTTGGATCTTTAATAAAAAAAAACTAGCCTTATTATATTTGATTTAGCAAAATAGATAAAAAACTTCGTTAAATATATTTTTAGATTCATGGATATTTTTTGTAGTTTTGAAGTATCACCAAAAAAAATCGTCTACTAGCTCAGGAAATTTATTTTTAAAATGATGTTGCAGCTATTTGAATGTTTCTTTAACAGTTGTTGGTCAAACTGAACAAAGAACGCGTTGGTTTTGCCAACATAATTTTTGAGCATTATAAATTTCAATGGTAGTAATGAAGTAGTTTTGCGTAATATATTTAAAGATTTATAGAACTTGAAATGGAAGTGGGCTAGAAATTATTCAGCTTTCTGGATCTGAATAAAAATAAGTTTCTTTTTTTTTTTTTTTTCAAAATTCGAATCCAAAATGGAAGCACTACATTCAATAATAAACCTTTCGAAGTTCTACTTGGGAAACGATTATCGACAGAAAGAAAATTATGAACACGAGTTGGCCTTTATTTATTCCTTTAGTAAAGCAAGTGGTTTTTCAGTGATCTTGTTATTTTAACTTTCTTCATTGCTGATATTCTTTTTTTCCGCTTTTGGTCATATGTTCTTTTTAACTTTTACAATTTTCGTTATATCTTAGTTTAGATTTTTATTTCATGTGTTTTCTCTGTGTTTACTTTTTTATGTCCTTTTAGACGACTTTACATTTTAGAATTTGTTACTCTGTGCTGTTTTCTTTATTATTACTTCAAGAGTGTAAGCAAAGGAATTCTTGTAATTGAGTCCATCGGGCGATTGGGCACTTTAGGTTTTCTCAACGTTTTATGACCCCTAGAGTGCGAAAACTTAGGTCTCTCGTTTTTGTCTGTCTGTCTTCCGTCTGTGTCGATTTTTATTGGAAAATCTCCTAAATTACCAGACCAATTGTTGGCAAATTTTGTATGTGAGCTAGCTGAAAGGGGACACCTCAAATAAGTTTTTTATTTATGAACCTATGTGAATGGAATTTAGCTTATAAATAAAGACAAATGAGTTCTATCTATGCGTCACTTCATTAACATGAAATACATATTTTTTTAATTTATCTGAATTTTTATTTTACTATAAAACTGAAAAAAAAACTGCAAAATTCAATATTTACACTCCTCATACACTTTATTTCCTTTTGTAAAATAATAGTTTCTTAAAACATTTTCTGCGTTTTGTTTTCTAAACACGTCTTTGCGTAAGTAATGAAACATCTATTTTTGAGACTCATAAAATTATTTCATTTATTATGCTTTTCTTAACTATCCAATCAAATATTTTACCAAATTTTAAATTTGCTCTAGCGAATAACGGTAATCAGAAAATTAATTCTTTTTTTTTAAGACAAATTGCAAAAATTTACGAACATGAAAATAGTGAAGCTAATAAGGCTAATTTAATTTTTTTTTTAAATGAAAATGCAAAATTAAAAAAAAAGCTAAATGGTGTTTCTGTACTCTTTCCGTTGTTTTTTACTTCTCGAGCGTAAACGAAGGAAGTATTGTAATCGAGTCCGCCGGCCGACTCTTTACTTTTACGTTTTCTCGACCTTTCATGGCCCCTAGAGTACGAAGAAATAGGTCTCGTGTTTCCGTCTGCCTGTCTGTCTGTCTGTCTGTCTGCCTGCCTGCCTGTCTGTCTGCAGTCCCGGATTTTTATTAGATAGATAATCTCCGAAAGTACTGGGCCGATCGTTGTCAAATTTTGTATTTATATTAGGAATATCATGTAGATGGTAAAACTAAATTGTACATAGTAAATGGGTTTTAGATTGTAGAAAATGACATAGTCCTACACATGTAGTTTATGACTTTGTGTTAAGTTTTTACCCAAAACGTCTAGATTTTTTGAAAAAAAAAAATTAAAAACAAAATAACATTTTGCAATTTAATTTTGAATCTGCCAAATCGAATGCTTTGAAATTTTCCAATCTCTTAAAGTTATGATAAACATGATAAATTTTCAATCAAAATGTATTTACTTATCCCCTCCAAGAAATTGATAACGTCAGCTCAAAATTTTATCGAATAAATCTTATCCAAAATGTAGAAAATATGATGAGTCTGTAATTGTGATTTATCATTCCATTCATATTTTTGGGATTTGCTTATACAGGGTGAGTCAAAAAAATTGAACGCGTGAAATTATTTTATTGATTTAATCCAGAACTACTAAATCAAATGCTTTGAAATCTTGGAGATGTTTTAAGCATGGTAAATCTCAAGATTTTGCCGAATAAATTTTACTCAAAATGCGCAAAATATGAGTTCTGATTTGTGATATATCATTGCATTTATATTTTTAGATTTGCTCTCTATTTTCTCAGAGGGTATATCATTTGCCAAAATAAGTTTTACCCTAGCAAGTACTAGCCGACCCACCCACCCCCTATTTTTTCAGAGGATTATGTAATTTGCCAAAATCAGTCTTATCTTAGCAAATGTAGGAAGACGGATAAATTTTGATTAACGATTTACCATGCTTCCAATCACCTTAAAATAGTTGTAAAATTTCACAGCATTCGGTTTTTGCAACTCAAGGTTAAATTGTAAAATTTTTCCCAAAAATCTGGATGCCCACACTCGACACGGATTCATAAATCACACATACAGGAGCATGTGATTTTACAATATTTAAAGAACATTTATTCCGTAGAATTGGAAGATCCCTTATTTCCTATAATTTTAAAATGTTTGCAAGATTTCAGAGCATTCGGTTTTGCAATTTCAAAGTTAAATTGCAAAATAGAGTTCGATTTCTTTATTTTTCGGTTTTTCGATGTTTCAGTTTTGGGATTTTTCAATTTTTCTTAGATTTTTCGATTTATTGATTTATCAATTTTTCGATATTTTAGTTTGGAGATTTTTTAACTTTTCGCTTTATCAATTTCTCGATTTTTTTATTTCCCATTTCTGAATTTTCAAAAATTTCAGTTTTGGGATTTTTCTTTTTTCGCTTCAGTTTCTCGTTTGTCAGTTTTTCAATGTTTCGATTTTTCAGTATTTTCATTTTTCAATTTTTTAAATTTTCGGTCTTTCGATTTTTCAAGTTAACGTTTTTTCGACTTATCGATCTCTCTATTTTTCAGTTCTTCATTGTTTCAGTTTTGGGATTTTTCAATTTTTCGATTTTTCTAGCATTTTGACAAATGACGTATTCTCTGAGAAAATAGGGGGCGGGTGGCCGGGGCTAGTACTTGCTAAGATAAGAATGATTTAGCCTCTATTAATCTTGTAAAAACTTGTTAAATTTAAAAGGTGTTAAATTGCAAATTTACATAATAACGAGTGAAATTCTTAAATCTGTTTATTTTTGTTTTCATTCTACTTCGGGAGCGAGGGAAGTTCTGTTGAAACAACTGCCGACCAATTTTTTTTATTATTATTTTACTCGTGTTCTCCATTTGCAAATTTAATATTATTACTTTTGGATAATAAATAAAAAAGTTTTTCGAGGTATTCTCTTTTAGCTCACTCATCCTGTATATTAGGAATGTCATGTAGATGGTAGAACGCTAACCAACATTTGTCTGATCATTCCCATCAAATTTTAAATTTGTATTTTTTGCTCAACATTTCAGGAGTCAAAGTAGGCTATTTTTGAAAGTTTACAAATTTCAAACATTTTTTTCTTAAAACTTCCTTTACATTTTCTGTTATTATGTACTATACAACAAAGAGAACCAGTGGTATAGTTTTGGAAATTTCATTCTACCCTATAAAATTTAATTGGCAATAACGAGACGGACACTAGTACAATAGCAAGAGATATTTACAACTTCAGTTGTAGCGTACCGGTAATCCTCAAATGTTAGAAAGCAGAATAATCCAGGTCCGGACAGGGACCATCGTTACTCAAGAACGAAAATGACCATTATTTTATGAGTACAACTACATGCTACATGTTCTCCGACAAATTCGGGTGAACTGGCGTGAGCCATAAATATTTCTTACCATTGTACTACTTATCGACTCGTTATTGTCAATAAAATTTTATAGGGTAGAATGAAATTTCCAAAACTATACAAATCAACTGAAATTAGGTATATGGGTACAAGAAGTTGTGCACTAATTATTCGACAAAAAAAAGTTTTTTCTGGTTCACTTGTCTTCGAGATGCAAGGCCAACAGTGATATACTCATACTTTCTTTCTGATGGAAACGCCAATAAATTATTAAGCAATAATTAAATTAATTAATTCTTTTTACGCATAATTAGAGTACAACTTCTTGTACCCCTATACCCAATTTCAGATGGTTTATACAATCGGTTTTCAAGATTATTTAACCGTTTCCACACTTCTTAGGGATCCCGTTATGTACTAAATACCCGAAAAAACTCTTTTAGGTTAATAGTGTTGCAATAGGAAAAGCTGAAAGTCACCAAAAACGGGAAATTACAACCAAATTTCAGTAAGCCAGCATTCAGTGGTGCTGTTCAAGTAGGGTACTTGTACCTGATACGACTGATTTTAACAAATGACATACCTTCGTAGAAAAGAGAGGGTGGGTGGGCGGGGCTAGTATTGGCTAAAATAAGACCGATTATTGATTCTTGGGCAGTAAAATAAAGTTATAATAATGTTAATATATGTTATAGAAAAAAAGTTACAGCCCATAACAGGAAAGTTTGAAAATGGCACAACTTCAGAATGTTAATGGATGCCAATCGGAAGTGAAGCATTCAAAAAAATAAATGACGACTCTTTTTCATGTTCTGGTACCTAAAAGATCACCCTTAATTTTTTTCATCAAAATCAAATGTCACACCTCATTTGGTGTTTTCGTATGGAACGACCCATCTGTGTTTTATTGTACTTTAAAGGCGGGGGGAGTTCTATTGAAATAACCTTCTATTTATGTGATTGATATTTTTCTAGTATCAGTTTATTTACAAAAAACTTGTTATTAGTTTATCATTGCGTTAACGACCAATGTATTTTTCGCATCATCTGCCACTTCCCCAACAACGTCCATTATCAAATTCAGAAGTGTTCTCTTTCGGTCCCCACACCCTGTAGCATTTCTTTCAGTTTCCGTCACTGTGGTCCAGCACTGTTGTCGTAGCCTGTATGTTAATCGTAGCATCTTCTTGGATTAGACTTAGACAAATCGGGTAGCGAGCTTCCGTCTTGTTCGTCAGTGTGTGTGTAAATAGCAAACGGGCCGTTTACTTACCCCATAAATAAACCAAATGCATGTGAAACGGCCCGTTCCGTTAAAACGCCGATAGACTGATCGCATCCGTGCGACCGGATTAAAACGAATTACTCGTATGTAATTTGCAATTGATTGCATGATTTGCGGCATCGTTGCCTTGATTAGTCGTAATAACTCGACCACGGCCTGTTAGATACATCGACGTGATTTACCGGCCCGCGCAATTGCCAAAAATGCGGTGGATTTAATGTGCCTGCGGTGGTACAATGTATTACGTATGTTTATGGGTGACTTAAAATTATGCTTTGACCACAGTAACTCAGCAAGGACTTCGCAAATCTGATTATTCAAGACTTCAAAGAAGAGCGAATCGTACAGAAAATTGGTTTTTAGAATTGATTGCAGATTGCTTGAATTATGTTTTTGTAATCGATACGTTTTAAACTTTACAATTATCCTAGAAAATTCATGTGGTGCAGTCCCAAATTTTCATACACTTTTAAAGTAGGTTCATAAAGCACCGCTAGAATCGATTTTTTTTTGACCCAAATTGGCAAACAAAATATTTTTCGTCTTATTAATTAATAATTTGCGTGAGATACGATCAAGGTGAGCAATTACGTGGGCCGATTTATAGCCATTCATTGTCTACCAGGCCGTGACCCCGCCTCATTCCGTCCACTAAACCCCGCATTTTTCAGTACGAACAGGGCGAACGCAAGCGTCGCGAGGAGCGCCTGGAGCGTGCCAAGCAGCACATGAAGCAGAAGGAGTCCGAGGACCCGGAGAACGCGCCCGGAGCGCTCCGGCACGAGACTTGGTTCCGGCCGGACGGCGGTAGGCGGGTGCACAGGACGACGCAGGCCGTCCAGGAGCAGAAGGACTCCGAGGAGGAGGACCTGGCGGCGCTCAGCAGCGTCGAGGTGAACAAGAGATTCGTGATCAGCTACTTGCACGTCCACGGCAAGCTAATAACGAGAATTGGGTAAGTAGTTGCGGGCAGCCCTGCAGGAAGTCGCGTAATTGCACGGATTCGACACGGCCGACGCCGACCGTTACCTGGGCACCGATTCCCACAGGTTTTGCGAAAACGGACACACGGAGAGATTAATTTTTTTGTGCGCGTCTTCGTATTGTTCTGGCGGTACAGTTAAGGTGCAGCTGGTTGCTAGATCGGAGGATTAATTAAGAGATACAGAGTAACTGTATTGGCATTATCGGGAGGGTGCGAAGCGAGTTTGGGCTTTTTGTTGCTATGAGGAGCGTCCGAGTCGTGCGAAGGCGGCGGTGAGCGATTCGGGTTTACAATGAGCTTGTTAAGATTAAATTCCCAATAGGATGTCGTGTCAAATTATGTTGAACAATAGTGCTTTTAAATTCTACACACGTACATAAGAATTTTGGTTTTTCGAACCCAATTGGAAAATATCACATGTTTCGGTAGTGATTTTTTTATGGAGGAACTTTTTAATGACAGTTGATAATGACTTCTTTGAAATTTGTTTAGTAACAGAAGCTTAACTAAATTTTAGTTATTCCTTCTTTCCAAAAAGTTGATGATATTATTTAACCTTAAATCTTTATCAAAATTTGCTCTGAAGTTCGACATTGCTTGCGCTTATTTATAATAACTTAATTTTTTTTAGCGAAATATGCGCTATGGGACGCGTTTTATGTAATAACATTTTTTTATTTTAAGTTCCCGGACGTGAAATCGGTAAGTATTATAATGAATCCATTTGACGAATGGCTAATTTTGTTTCCTCGACGTTTCCTTACTTGTAGAAGACGAAAAAGTCGGTCTTCTGATCCATCTGTCTTTTGGTGATTACTAGACTAATAATTTTCGAAACTGCTGGACTGATTGTTATGAAATTTTAGAAGTCTTTTAAAAATATCGTGTTAATGACAAAACGCTAACCAAAATGGGTCTGATCATTTCTCCAAAAACTTAAGAACGAAAATTTTGCTAAATAAATTCTTAAAATTCTTCTGTTTCAAAAAAAAAATTACAATTTAAATTTAGAAACTACAAAACCTCTGTAAATTGAACATGATAAATCACTAATCAGAATTTTCTTCTTTTCCAATATGTTTAGTGATACATATGTGGTTTTTGAAAAAAAATTGATCTCATGTTATTAAACAGAACTTCCCCCATTCCTGAAGTACACTCAAACAAATCCAGTTTAGAAACAAAACAATATAAAACCAATCTCAGTTCTAAAAAAAAAAGTTCCCCATCAGGATAAAACTCACGACTTTCACGTTAGTATCCCGTTATCTTCGTACGAAACGTTAGTATACAGTCCCGAAAATCTGGATGCCAAAGGAAAACAATTAAGGTGAATTCATAAACCACAAGTATACCAGTATGTTATGTTATAAATTTAAATATCATTTGCTTAGCAAAATTGGAAAAAATGGAATTTTTTGGTAAATTTCCAAACCAAAATTTTTCAGACATTCTCTATATCGATATTTCGATCCACAGAACTTGGTTTTAACTTCATTTTTTCGATAACTCCCACCGTCTTTCCAAAATCGCCTATTAGAATATTGCAATTTTTTTAATTTAACAAAAAAATCGATTTTCAAACCCAGTATTTCAAGAATCTTGCCTCGAGACCATGAACATGCTATATTTTTCGAATCAGAACGTCGAAATCTATATCTCTGAATTTTTTGGGATTTTTTCACAACTTTCAAAACCAAAATTTTTCAAAAATTTCGGCCAGTTTTCGTCCATTTTCGAAACTTAACCCAAATATATTTTGTTATAAATTTCGACTTACAGAACTTGGTTTTTACTTCAATTTTATTACCATTTTTCCAGAATCGCCTGTTAGAGTATTGCAATTTTTTTATTAAAAAAAAATAAATAAATAAAAATCTATGTATTTTCGAATCCAGTATTTCTAAAATTTTACCCCGGGACGATGAACATGCTATATTTTTGGAATTAGCACGTCGAAATCTATATCCTTGAATTTTTTCGAATTATTTGACAATTTTCAAAAGCAAAATTTTTCAAAAATTTGGGTCAGTCTTCGTCCTATTTCGAAAATTAACCAAAAAAGCATTTTCTTATACATTTCGACCAACAGGACTTAATTTTAATTTCATTTTTTCGATAACTCTTACCGTTTTTCTAGAATTGCCTATTGGAATATTGCAATTTTTTGAATTTAACAAAAAAATCGATTTTCAAACCCAGTTTTTCTAAAATCTTGTCTCGACACCATGAATTTTTGGAATCAGCACCTCGAAATCTATTTCCCCGAATTTTTTGGAATTTTTTGAAAATTTTGAGAAGCAAAATTTTTCAAAAATTTCGGCCAGTTTTCGTCCATATTCGAAACTTAACCAAAGACATTTTGTTATAAATTTCGACCTACATAACTCGATTTTGACTTCAGTTTTTGTTAACTCCTACCATTTTTCCAGAATCGCCAATTGGAATGTTGCATGTTTTTGATTAAAAAAAAATCGATTTTCGAACCCAGTATTTCTAAAATCTTATCCCGACATGCTATATTTTTGGAATCAGCACGTCCAAATTTGTGCCCCTGAGTTTTTTCGAATTTTTGACAATTTTTTAAAATTTAGGCCAGTTTTCGTCTAATTTCGAAACTTAACCAAATACATTTTCTGATACATTTCCATCTACAGGACTTAGTTTTAACTTCATTTATTCGATAACTCTTACCGTTTTTCTAAAATCGCGTATTGGAATATTGTACTTTTTTTTTAATTAAAAAAAAATCAATTTTCAAATCCATTATTTCTAAAATCTCGTCCCGGAAAGAACACGCTATATTTTTGACATCATCACGTTGAAATATATATATTGTTACGAAAAAACCCATACGCCGCCCCGGTACGACGTCTATGGGTTTTCTAATATCTGCGGCGATGATGGGTGACTCATCGTCGGTGACGGCGGCGCGCAGGTTTCGCATAAACACAATCGATTGCGGGGTCCAGAAAAACCTAGAAGCGTTGTTCGCCATCCATTCAGAGAAGTGTATGGATTTAAATAGAGGCTACCGTCGGGAACGATTCAGTCAAGAAGTCGAGTTGAGCGAAGACAAAGTCCAGTCAAGTTGCGCCGGAATTATTTTGTACATAATCGTTGGATAATCAGTCTTGTAAATTTGAGTTATTGAAAAATAAATTGTCGATTTTAAATCCGGAGCATTGTAACAATATTTTCGAATTTTTTGGTAGTTTGATAATTTTTCAAAAGCAAAATTTTTCAAAAATTTCGGCTGATTTCCACCATTTTCGAAACTTAACCACCGACGTTTTCTCATAAATTTTGACCTAGAGGACTTTGTTTTGACTCATTTCTTCAATAACATATATCATTTTTCCAGAATCGTTTATTGGAATATGCATATTTTGGCAAGACATTATTAACATTAATTTAAGGGTTCTAATAATCACCGAGATTTTATTTATTCACCCCCCCCTAGAAAGTTAATGACGTTTTAGTAAAAATTTCTTAACCAAATTTCTGTTAAAAATGCGTATCCAGATACATTAGTAATATATTTTTACTTCACAACTTTAAGGCAAAAAGTATTGTAATAAGGTCTGTCGGATGGGTGGCTACTTTCATGTTTTCTCGACGTTTCATGACCTCAAGAGTTTTAAAAATATCTGTGTTTACTGTTTATCCGAAACTGGAGAATCGACATTTAGAAAAATTAAAAATCGAAGAACCGAAAATTCCAAAAATCGAAAATCGAAGAATTCTGAAATCGAAAAAACAAAAATTGAACACTGGAAAAATCGAAAATCGTAAAATCGAAAAATTGAAAAAGCATCGAAAATCCAAAATTTAACATTGGAAAATTTGATGAACCAAACATTAGAAAAATCGAAATTTAAAAGTCGAAAAGCGAAAAATTGAAAATCGAAAAACTGAAAAATCGTAAAATCGAACTATCAAAAAGTAGAAAAATTGAAAATTCGGAATAAATAAATGAATAAATAGATTAATTGTCCAACAGAACATAAATATTCGCTTTAGAGGACAGTATGTAACTTAAAAATTAAATTGAGTGTCCAGTGACACGTACTATACATAAATAAATAAAAGTTACTAATTCTAATTCTCTTGCCTACTAAAGTTATGTAAAATTTCCTCTAATTCTTAACCTAAGACTATCAACAGATCAAAACATCGAAAAATTAAGAACTGGAAAAATTGAAAAGTAAAATATTTTAAATATCGAATATCGAAAGAAAATTCGAAGAGTCGAAAATCGAAAATTCTGAAAATCGTTGATCGAAAATTGGAAAAAACAAAATGTCGATAATTAGAAAAATCGAAAATTGGATAATCGAAGAATTGAAAAATTGAAAAAAATGCGACATCGAAAATCGAAAAACCAGCAGTGGAGTATTTAATGAACATCAACCACAATTTGTCTGATCATCGCCACCAACACTGTAATGACATCCCTTTAAAAGTTTCCTTAGTCGACACCATTTCAATTTTATAAAATAATATATTCCTGTACTCATAGGTTATGAATCCACCTCGATTTTGTTTATTATTTTTATTGTTTAAACCTTCTTGTTATTTAGTCACATAATAAAGTCTAAGGAATAGGCTTGCAGAAAGATTCCCGGTTGCGTATTATTTTGACTTATAGTGATTATGATTAGAAATAAGTTTCACAAAATGAAGTTTTATTTGCGTGAATTTGGGGCTACTGCAAATTGCAGCAATCGTTAATCTTTTTTCTAAGTTGAAAGTAGATTCAAGATGGAAGTTGACGGTTATTCAACTTGTATTGTTATTATATACAGGCTGTTCAGAAAAGATACATCAACTCAACGGTACATTTGACGTTCATTTACAAAAACAAAATTTCGATTTAGATAGATAGTCTAAAAAATGTGAAAAAAAAAATTCGAAACAAAACTTTGAAGGGCTATTTTCTACATTTGGAAAAATAATTTTTTAATTAA